CCATACCACACTAACAATGGTACCACCATACCACGCTACAAATGGTACCACCATACCACACTAACAATGGTACCACCATACCACACTAACAATGGTACCACCATACCACACTAACAATGGTACCACCATACCACACTAACAATGGTACCGCCATACCACACTAACAATGGTACCACCATACCACACTAACAATGGTACCGCCATACCACACTAACAATGGTACCACCATACCACACTAACAATGGTACCACACTAACAATGGTACCACCATACCACACTAACAATGGTACCACCATACCACACTTACAATAATCAGTTCGCTCCTTTCACAATGAATGACCACAAATGACTTCCGGAAATAGGTCACTTCTCCGTGTAAAGTAGTTTAGCACTCATGACTGTAACTGTTGCCTATAGACTAAATCTCGAACACCCCGTACATCAGCTAAACTGGGAAGGTATTCAACGTACCTGATGCTGGTACATCAAGCACAAAGGTATTTTACAGCATCCATGTCAGGACAATTTGGCGATTGACTTACGATAACTTCCGGCGAATGACCTGGGCCATTTATGATGCTAGTGACTTGGCCTAAAGGTGCTTGACACAGACTGTTCATGTCGACACAGACCTGTACGTCGTAAACGTCATCTATAACTCACCACAACACATATCGTAGCGTCATCTTCAACTCATCCCGACACGGAACGCACACGTAGCGCCATCTGTTATCACACCAATGACGTATACGTAGCGCCATTTACAACTTATTACGACAAACCACGGCCAAGTGTCAGTTCCATTGTCTTTACGTGCTGCGTCACTGAGATCTCGGTACAAAGACAAAGATGTCTTAATATCCAACATCACTAATGTTACGGTACACGCCATACCGAAGTTAGGCATCAGCTGACCATGACGTAGTGTGGTGGTAGTATCAATAATGATCAATAAAATTATTAGAATACTTCTGGATATTTTAGCATCAAGTAATCAAACGAACGATAGTGTTCAATTCAGTTTCTCCGCATTTCCACAACAGTTCGGCTAAATGGCACCAGAGGAACCGGGGGAAAACGTTAAAAATGTCTTTGACTTCAGTTCGACCCGTAAAATAACAAAACTTGGTCAAGACCACTTAGAGATCATTTCAGGCAAGTTTACGCTGAATCTCATCGATGGAACAAGAGAAAGATATATGTTGTTAAAGAAAACCATGATTGTGCAATCATATTTAAAAATATAACCGACGTGACAGAACGTGTCGAAGTTTCAACGGGACAAACAAATCAACAACACAATGTCGGCATCTTTTTCTAAACATCTGTACCAATTATCAATTCAACGAAACAGATGGAATTTGAGAAGAAGCTGTAAAGTGTGTTATTCGAGATAGCGGCCATGGTGGCCATATTGAATTTCGAACCGACTCGAACACTTGGATAAGACCATCTCAAGATTATTTCAGGTAAAATTGAGCTGAATACCAACGTTGTAACTTAAGAAAAGATTAAAGTAGATGGTGCTCAGGAAAATCATGGTTGCACAATTATGTTACAGGGTAGGCGTTTTCAGCTCATTGGCACCAATGAAACTGATAAAGAAGTTTTAAAATGTGTTGTTTTCAAAATTGCGGCCATATTAGACTTCAGACCGACCTGGAAAATAACAACAGTCACGTTTAAGATGAATGGAGCGTCACAACTTTACAAATGATGTTGCTTAGGAAAACAATGATTGTGCAATCGTGTTACAAACTGGATGCCTTTTCAGGAAGCTGAACATTAACAGCGTTTAGTCAGGACCATCTCCAGATCATTTCAGGCAAACTTGAACTGTATCCAACCGGTGAAATCTGAGAAGTCTAAAATGTGAAAAGTTAAGGCTCGCCGGATGGCGCAGGACGTACGACAAAGGACGAATCACGATGGCTTAAGCTCATTTTGACCCTATGGGTCAAATGACCTTAATGCCCGTAATTTATAGTTCGACCCACAGAGGAGAAGCATAGTCCTTATAAGACAAACAGCACTATATTCGTTTATTTCATACATATAAAGAGGGAATATCGAATCGCGTGCAGCATATGTATAACTGATACAATGCCTGTCGTTCGTGATGCCTGGGGGAGGCCCTCTCTCCATTACCGATAGAAATGTTTGGTAATACGACCACGGCATTAGTGCTGGTACTGCTGGTCAGAGCGGAGCAGATCTGGTGATATGACGTCACGAGGCACGACAAAATCATGAATGACTGTAGAAGTTCACCCGTCATCGGGAATCCTTGTTACCAGCAAATGTGACTTTAAACGTGAAATGTGTCAGTTTTTAAACAGTATCTTTGTTTTCAGGTCTGTCTACTTATGAAAATCGATAGCGGCTTCCTGGAATGGCTTTGTCTATATATGAATATTTCAGAAGTAGCATGCTGGCAGCCATCAGCTACTGAGAATTCTTTACTAGCCAGTTTATCCATCATGATATAAAAATGTCCATGCGATACCAGATCAAATAGTTACCCATGTATGGCGTCGTTTATAAATATTTATGGATGTTTTGATATATAATTGTGCACGAGGTCCACTTCAGAAGAATGGTTGTTTGGTAAGATAATAACACTATTAGTTGATCATGATAAGAACAATGTTTGTAGTAGGTAGTATACCAAATACTTCATAAGCAATTCGTCAGTAAGGACGCACGTGGCAAGCAGGTTAATGGTCGCAAAATGTACAACAATTATATTCTGTAACAGCACAAGCAAGCATTTTCTCCCAAACATAAATCCAGTCTGACCCTATCACGGACACGGCAATTTAATAGACATATTTAACTAACACAGTCACTCAGTAGTCACTTTCTGTCAATAATATGTCTACTGAGTGATTGTGTTGGTGATGGAATGTGTCTACTGAGTGATTGTGTGATTGATAGAATGTGTCTACTGAGTGACTGTGTTGGTGATGATATATGTCTAATATATCTATAGTAGATAGTGCAGCTGACACAATCACTCAGTAGACACTTTCTATCAATGACACAATCACTCAGTAGACACATTATATCACCAACACAGTCACTCAGTAGAAACATTCCATCACCAACACAATCACTCAGTAGACACATTCTATCACCAACACAGTCACTCAGTAGACACATTCTATCACCAACACAGTCACTCAGTAGACACATTCTATCACCAACACAATCATTCAGTAGACACATTCTATCACCAACACAGTCACTCAGTAGACACATTCTATCACCAACACAGTCACTCAGTAGACACATTCTATCACCAACCCAGTCACTCAGTAGACACATTCTATTACCAACACAATCACTCAGTAGACACATTCTATCACCAGCACAGTCACTCAGTAGACACATTCTATCACCAACCCAGTCACTCAGTAGACACATTCTATTACTAACACAATCACTCAGTAAACACATTCTATCACCAACACAATCACTCAGTAGACACATTCTATCAACGACACAGTCACTCAGTAGACATATTCTATCACCAACATAGTCACTCAGTAGACACATTCTATCACCAACACAGTCACTCAGTAGACACATTCTATCACCAACACAGTCACTCAGTAGACACATTCTATCACCAACACAATCACTCAGTAGACACATTCTATCAACGACACAGTCACTCACTAGACATTCTATTTCGAATACACGTTTATTTCACCCGTTTTAAAACAAAAATATATACTGCGCCTACAAAGTGTCAGAGGGATGGGGATCCCTCTCGTGTCTTTATCAAAACCAAAGGTACTTTTGGTTATGGTGCATTGACTCTGAACGTGATCGTGTTTACATCTAACTGATTTTTTACTGTAAAATCACATGTTTGTGACATCTTATCCTTTATAAGCAGTAGAATGGTCTTATCGGGGTGCCACTTCTTTGAATCAAGTTTTGTTTATGCTGTTACGTGTTCATGTACGTGGAGTCAACCTGCACTGTAATAATGCTTTAGCGGGAGGGGTAAAATGGCGGTTATCTCGTCCTAATAAAAAAAGTATTGGCTCATGGAAGAAAATTTATCTAACTGAGTGTTTAAACGTCTATTTCTATCACTACATACGAGTATACGTCTAAACAACCAATTACATATGTACTATATCTTATATACGAAATGATAGTTCCCTCTTAACAGGCCCGTGTGAAATTATGTATTGAATTTCAACAATGTGGATTTACAACATTAATTTGTCAAAAGACAAATAATCAACGATAGCAGGCCGAGTGTTATCCAAAGTGTTTACACAAAGAAAAAATCCCATTTAGTTGTTTAAAAACACATCCAGTAAACTTCATCTTCTCGGTTTTTGCATTTATGACGTAACACACCGAACCTAGTCAATTTCTGCCGGAGTTGTCGTTCTTGTGTAATGGAGGTACTAATGTGTACATGTAAAACTGTACCATAGTGTGCATATAGTATACCTATAGGTCAAAAGTTATATTAAATAGGGAATTTTCGGATTAAGATTTGATCAATGCTGTACTTGTGGCGACGTTTGTGGTAAAAATATAGTACAATTGTCACTAGAACTCGAGTTATTGAGACTTGTAGGCAGAGTGCCCCTCATACCCTAAATTTGATGGTCCAATGATGTAAAGGACGAATGCACCTTCATATCTAGATACAGATAACATGACATTGTTTCTAAGCTTAGCCTTTCTTTTCACTTGTATTCACGAGTTAAGTAATATCCATTTGTTACCTAGTGCTTCAGTTCAAACTGATGCCGTGCAGTTATGTTGCTTTCGGATTAGCTTTAATTCTGCTTTCATTAATTTGCCTATGAGAAAGGTGATAGCTTGTTTCCAGCTGAATTCATTTACCTGTGCGTGTTCTTCCGTTTTTCGGATCCGTGTATTTACCCTACTATTCCAATATTTTCAGGTTTGGTCGACTCACCTGTGGAAGTTAGGTTCTCTTTGTATTATTTGTTGACTTAACTCACCTGTCAAGCACGAGCTCCTCCAGTTGACTGAGGTCACAGGCGATGTATTCGAGTGAAGCGTCCGTAATACGCGGACACCAGGACAGGTCTAGCGACCGTAGTTTACGTAGATTCTCTGCAATAAGTTCCACACCGTCGTCCGTAATTTTACTGCACCCGGACAGACTAAGGACGGTAAGGTTGGGTAGAGAATGGACTATATTCACAATGCCGTGATTTGTTATTTCCCAACAGGAATGCAATCTCAGTAATGACAAACTATAACTCTGTTTGGCACTGAAAAACGCTAAAGCGGCGTCAGTAACGTGGTATGCTTGTAGGTTTAATTCATACAACGACGGAAGCAGCTGAGCAATGGCGCCGACAGTGTCGTCAGCCACATTGATGCAGTCGTTTATCGTCAACGAAACGATTTTTGAATTAAGACACGACCAAAGTCCCGTTTCCGTGAGTTCATTGCACCCGGAAAGTTCAAGTCGGTAGATACAAGGCATCCGTTTGAATAGCTGTTCCATGCCAGTGTCTGTAACGTTGGAGCACCGCAGTCCCACGGAACGTAATTGTTTTTTACACGTGGAAAAATGATTGACGAAGTCCACGAGGTCATCGTCAGTGGCCCCGAACAAACAAATAGAATCAAAACTCCTCAACTGTAGGCTCTCGTAGAAGATCCGTCTCATGTCCTCCTCGCGACTAAGGTCACGACAGGATATAATCGGGATGACGTCAAGCCAGAAGCGGGGATGGTACAGGATGGCCTTCCACGTTAGGCACACCTGTGACAACACACCCCGCTCCTCAGCTGAAAAATACATGAAGAATTTAGACAAAAACCTCTCATACATGAAAAGATCATGAATAGTCTCCGGTTGATGCCTTCCGAATAGACTCCGGATTTTCCTGGCAATGAGAGGTTTCGGAGAGCGGACTACCCTGGCACTCATCGCACCTCCATTGGCTATCCTCGTCTGACCTGTTGTTTCCCTCGTTGACACTGTCGTTTGTTGTTGTTGCTGTTGTTGTTGCTGCTGCTGTTGCTGGTTCTGTTGTTCCCGATTAAATCTAAGACCTCGGATACCGTTTGATATTTCCATATAAGCCCTTCGAATTGTAGACATGACTAGTCACAAATAACCCGCGTTAATGCTGCCTCCTTACGGAGCCGGCCACAGCTACAAACAGCGTGTGATTATCTGTGAGAAGTAGACCTGTACTTTGAAGCATTTTGTATCCTGGACATTTCATTCACATGCACGGGATATGTATCGACCAGTGGTAGCACGGCCCGGGGGGTTCAGCAAACCACTGCGTTCATTGGCAGCGTGGTGGCACACTCACACCAGCACGTCTTATAATTTCCAATCATAATGTTTATCTGAAACACGTGTTCTAAACCTATATCACAGGACCAAACCACACAAGATCACCATCATGTTTCACGTCTTCAGTGTATCGGGTGGAACTGGTACGCAGACCACCAATCGGGTCAATAACTTGACAGTAACACACATACACAATATTCCAATAGGTGATGTAGCACGACTGGTAAACACGACTTCCTTCTATCCTTAGGAACAGACTTAACTATCCACATCTTATCAATCACATAAGTTGATCATGGGTAAGCTTTGGTATGTGACTGGGCCACATCTGCTTCCTACGCAGGTCGGCTTTGTCGTTACAAAGGCTTAATCTAAGTCATTGTTTCGAGATGAAAAGCACGCGCACATCACAGAGGCTGTACTGCATGTTTGCTGGTCTGGCTATGTCTGTCACCGAGTCATCGGTACCGATACGATACACTACACGCCCGACACACACGATCGATATGCTTCTATTTTCACAGTCATTAATTATTAGCACAGTGATAGTCGGGAATGGCTGTGTTTCATACAATTTTCTATTAACCTAGAAACAACATATGGGACGCGTGGAGGAGTAATGTGTCGTAATTTGCTTTTCTTTCAAAACACCTTGTTCTCTGCAAATATTAGTTTCCTCAAGTCAATTTTCGATGCTTGCGCTAGTATGTAAGAAACCCTCTAGTATCAGTAGTAATCTTCGTGTAGCATCAGTCTTGAACCTGAATCGATCGCGGACCTTGTCAGAAATATATTGGCCGTGTGGATCGTTCTACATGTCAAAACAGGTTGATGTTTAATATCGAGGAAACTGATAGATTTTATATTCCAGTCGTTATTAGATAGAAACAGTCATAATGAGTAGAACGATACGCTGGATGATTTCACTTGAAACTTGCACTCTGCGATGGACGCGCTTAAACAATGAGGTATAACACCGTAACTCACTACTACTATTATTGCTCGTTAGCGGGCTGCACTGCTGCTAGGTAATACACGTGTTCGCCCACTCATGATACCTATGTACTAACAAACGTTTCCCATTCATCAGACTGTTATTATATTACGGATAGTATAATTGTTGTGACAAGCCCTGGTCCACCCACCCCCACCTAACCCTACTGTGTGTTAATAAGTACATTATAATGATTCAGCCGTATGTGTTTCGTTACTTGCTGCTCGTGTGTTATATTACAAAGCTTTTGTGGTGATATATATCTAAAGTCCACCCCTTGTATATATGTATGTTTCATTAAGCTACCATACTACAGTCCACCCCTAGTCTGACTGTGTTACATTACTACAGTCCACCCCTAGTCTGACTGTGTTACATTACTACAGTCCACCCCTAGTCTGACTGTGTTACATTACTACAGTCCACCCCTAGTCTGACTGTGTGTTACATTACTACAGTCCACCCCTAGTCTGACTGTGTGTTACATTACTACAGTCCACCCCTAGTCTGACTGTGTTACATTACTACAGTCCACCCCTAATCTGACTGTGTGTTACATTACTACAGTCCACTCCTAGTCTGACTGTGTTACATTACTACAGTCCACCCCTAGTCTGACTGTGTGTTACATTACTACAGTCCACCCCTAGTCTGACTGTGTGTTACATTACTACAGTCCACCCCTAGTCTGACTGTGTGTTACATTACTACAGTCCACCCCTAGTCTGACTGTGTTACATTACTACAGTCCACCCCTAGTCTGACTGTGTGTTACATTACTACAGTCCACCCCTAGTCTGACTGTGTTACATTACTACAGTCCACCCCTAGTCTGACTGTGTGTTACATTACTACAGTCCACCCCTAGTCTGACTGTGTGTTACATTACTATAGTCCACCCCTAGTCTGACTGTGTGTTACATTACTACAGTCCACCCCTAGTCTGACTGTGTGTTACATTACTACAGTCCACCCCTAGTCTCACTGTGTTACATTACTACGGTCCACCCCTAGTCTGACTGTGTTACATTACTACAGTCCAACCCTAGTCTGACTGTGTTACATTACTACAGTCCACCCCTAGTCTGACTGTGTGTTACATTACTACGGTCCATCCCTAGTCTGACTGTGTTACATTACTGCAGTCCACCCCTAGTCTGACTGTGTGTTACATTACTACAGCCCACCCCTAGTCTGACTGTGTTACATTACTACGGTCCACCCCTAGTATGACTGTGTGTTACATTACTACAGTCCACCCCTAGTCTGACTGTGTGTTACATTACTACAGTCCACCCCTAGTCTCACTGTGTTACATTACTACAGTCCACCCCTAGTCTGACTGTGTATTACATTACTACAGTCCACCCCTAGTCTGACTGTGTTACATTACTACAGTCCACCCCTAGTCTGACTGTGTGTTACATTACTACGGTCCACCCCTAGTCTGACTGTGTTACATTACTACAGTCCAACCCTAGTCTGACTGTGTTACATTACTACAGTCCACCCCTATTCTCACTGTGTTACATTACTACAGTCCACCCCTAGTCTGACTCTGTGTTACATTACTACGGTCCATCCCTAGTCTGACTGTGTTACATTACGACGGTCCACCCCTAGTCTGACTGTTTGTTACATTACTACGGTTCACCCCTAGTCTGACTGTGTTACATTACTACAGTCCACCCCTAGTCTGACTGTGTTACATTACGACGGTCCACCCCTAGTCTGACTGTGTGTTACATTACTACAGTCCACCCCTAGTCTGACTGTGTTACATTACTACGGTCCACCCCTAGTCTGACTTTGTTACATTACTACGGTCCACCCCTAGTCTGACTGTGTGTTACATTACTACAGTCCACCCCTAGTCTGACTGTGTGTTACATTACTACAGTCCAACCCTAGTCTGACTGTGTTACATTTTATTACTTGCTCTCACTTCATGTCGGTCTTTGTTGACTTCCGTGCTGCATCATTTCATACGAATTGATTAATTTACTTTTTTTTCCGAAATCAAATATCAAAACAAGTTATTTTGTCATGCTGCATTTACTTTTAACAAGTAATTAAGTTAAAGACGCGTTTTCCGTATGTTTATCTATCAGGTAAGTATTTATTTTATAATCTCCGTTTTAATTGGTTGTACTTTCTTTCCATTTATTTGTCAATCAGAGTCCGTGTCCTTGACTTCAGTGATCTATACAGTATAATTCATACTAAAATGTCATTATTCCTATCCAAACGTAACGAACAAGCACAGGATAATGTCATTTCCACTCACAATATGGATTACATGTGCACACGTCGAGATCGATTTAACTCAATTAATTAAGTTGTACACGCGCAAAGATTAATTAAATTCTTGAAATTATGAGTAACTTAAATGTAGAATGGAAATTGAAATGAAAAGAAATCAACACCATAAATTGTTATATATCCTTGAAAACTCAGCAAGTTTGTATACTTGTATACTGTAATTCATAACATCACCTGTGACCTGACTAGAGTTTTTATTCGTTTTCTGTCAACTTTTTTTTCTGCGTGATAACATGCTGTTCTCCTTCATATTTTCATATTATTCTGTCTGACTTTGACTTATTGAACAGAAATTTAGAATTACAACTGCAAAGTCTGAAAAAGTACAACTCCCAAAAAGTCAACAACTCATAAAGCTCCATACTTTTACATGTGTGGGTCTGGGCATCCGCGTCACACCGACACATCATCATCATCATCATCATCATCTCTTTTTATTCCTCACTGATGAGATAAATATATAATAATTACAAAGATTAGTTTACATTTACATCAATGTTTATCATGTAAACTGTACATTGTACATGATGATCATTACAAAATAGTTCAACCTAAATTATGTAATAACTTTAATTCATTGAAATGGCATGATGACAATTAATACGTCCAGACTATTACAATTGATAAAGAATGTCAATTTCGACAGTTCTTTGTATCGCCATATGACAAAAGTTATATAACATTTAAGTACATGTAAATATGCTATAGAATTCCTCAACATACGCCGGGACACAAAAACCATTGTTACTTTGTAGTTTTTAGGAATAGTATTCAGAGCAGGTTCGTCTCCAGTGTACCTTCCATTACTGTTGTAAATAGCGATTTTACCATGCCTTAGATGATTAGTCGTGGTAACTTATACATTACCTCCGTACAATCACTAATTAATTAAGTTGGATTGAAGAAGCGGGGCGATTTGTCAATAGGATCCGAAGCCCTATGGACAAAGCTAATTACAATTAATGAATATAATATGATACTCGAGCATCCGAGCTACGGTGTAGTATGTCACGTGCGTGGTTTTTGTCAATACTTTCTGAACGGAATTTGTGTGCGCGCACTATTACTCTAAGCTTTGAAAATACTCAGAAAATTCCTTTATCGCAGTTACAGTTAACTATTAGGAAATTGTGACGGATGGTTAAAGTGGTTAAATAGTTACTGTTGTGTTAACTAGCTGTAGGGTTGCTTATACCGGTAGGGAAATATTGTGAAACTCGCTGGTCCGTTACATACATATGACTGGTGATCGATTAAATATACACTTAATGATCGCTTACATCTAGATTAAGTTACCGGCCAGTAAACGTTGACTAACTTACAGTGCGGATTAATGTGGATCAATGATGGGTCAAATGTCAAAATAAAAAGAAGTAAATCTACCATAAAAGTTAAACAATTTCATAGTTTTTTGTAAGTTTCCTGGAATTACCTTTTTACTTTTCCAAAACATATCTCGCCATCGTGTGGACAAGGATAAATGTTAGTAACTACATGGAATGACGACGACCACGATAATGATTTGGTATAATTACATATATATTGGTGAGGAAAATGTGTTATCAAAAATAGAAAAAAAGAAGACTGTGTATTGTTTTAGATATCAAACAATATCAAACGATTCCCGGCTGTCATTTGATTAGACGGTAGTTGTGGTACAGAACAGAATTAAGACTGAGTGTGTTGGAATGATTGAAAACATCAATAGATTAAAACAACATTTGTGCTCCTTCTGACACTCGAACCACATGTCTCGTTTGGGAAAGAAGAGTTACTCCCCTTCCCAGACATCTTTCGAAAATGGCAGACAACAGGTTTGTGACAGAAGAGAAGATTACAACATTAATTTTAGTAGCTTTGTTTGACTTTTAAAGGAGTTCCACTCCTCGATTTACTTTGTTATAGGTGCAAAATTATACGTAATATGCATTGTACAGAATCCCCTCTTCCATAATATCCGAAAATGCTTAAGGGACAAATGCCGCCAAATTTAAAATTTCACACTGAGCAGCGTCTCGGTTGTCTATCTAAAGTTTCGGTATCAGAGATGTGAAGAAATAGTTATTTATAGGCTTTAGATGGAATGCACGTTTAAGGCGTATGCTGACTTCCATCAATCATGTCAATTATGCCAACGTTGTTTGAGATTTACACTAAAAGAAACGTGTAAGAGGGCGCTGTCGAACAGGGGGATCTATCGGGTTAGAAACTGTTTTAAGTTGTCGCTTTGTAACGCTACTGTATAGTGAAGAAATTCTAGATAATTGGCCTTGCTGAATTGATAAAGCATTTTCTCCAAAATTACTTTCAGAACACAATAGTAACAAGCAAAATAATTTTCAAATTGTTTGTGTGTGTGTTTTTTTACATGATTTCGGGGATATATTTGTAAAATAAAATGCATGTTTAAGCTATTTACATATGAAATACCACCTAATATTGTATACAGCTTTCAGTCTGAAATATAAAGAAAATCATCTTTCAAAAATAGTATTGGAGAAACATTAGTTTGCGCATCCCTTTGCTTTATTAATATTTTTTTTACAAAAATGAGATTCACTTCTCACTGGGCAACAAAACAGACAGTGTAAAGTCCACAATTACTACAGTACAGGGGCAAGTAGATAAGATTAGATGATTGATGTGAAGATGCTTTGATGACTTCACAGTTCAATGAACAAACAAAAAGTAACCACAGAGAATTTGAAGTCTCCACTGGGCATAGTTTCTTATCCTTGATATTATACGTCACTGCAGCTGACACACTATTACTCTATTCAGTATATGTCATATGATTAATTTGCTAATCAGCACTTATTAAAATATAAACTGACCTCCACCAATCATTCATTCATTCATTCATAAATGTTTCTTCATGTCTTATGTAAGCCGGCTTCCTGTTGTCTACATGCACCTATCATTCAGTTATCCAGAAACTATCTAGGTTTCTGATTTATCACAGGAGCCCACAAGTTTATCAAAACTGCCCTAGTACTAGGTTGTAAAGATCTTGGAAATCAGGATTGGAGAGATACATTAGATCCGCTCATCTCGGAGGTAACACCCTCTGGACTCTGACATACTGGTTGATTACCTGTATTGATATTTGCATACATGTTCATATCGGCAAGCCATAAAGTGCTTTTTCGAAAATGATAAGAAAAATAACTAAAAGTTTGGAGTTCTCAGTACATTTGACCTTTGGCATTGCAAGTGGGTCAAGGTAACCCATTTGAACAACCTTCTCATCTCGGTATGTCACTGGCTCAGTGTCTGGAACCTAGTCATTTTGGTTATCTAGAAGAAGTTGTTTGAAGCTTTACATATTTGATCCCTGTGATCATTGAAAGTGGGTCAATGTCTTTTTATATGAACATACTTTATAGTACTTGAATTAACCCAGCATGCTATGGGTCAGATATCATTGGAAGGATATATAAAATGACTGCATAAGCTTAAATGCCTTTAAAAGCAGGTTAGCTAATCGACATGCACAACAGAGTGCAATAAAATGGACGGCCACAGTATAACCATTCATACATATATATGTACATTTATAAACAGGGGTTAGCTTGATAGCTAGAAATCTAATGATTTTGTTTTAGAAAGTTGAACTGACAAATAGATTATAATTATGGAAAAGTTTTTTTTACGCACTAAGTTGATGCTGAAATATAGATATTATAGCAGTTGCTTTACTCATTAGTTTGGGAGAATACAGTAATATGGGATACAATTTATTTATAGAAATAAAATAGAGCAATGCATCTGGAAATACATATCCATGGTACATATGGACATTAATCTAAAGATGTAGAATTACACTGCTTCCATTAATCAATGCTTTCTCTTTGTTACAGAGGAAAAGGTAGTCGTGGTGAACAAAGCACTGTTATTATAAGGGAGCTGAATGAAGAGGGAGGTGATGATAGAGACTGTGAGCTAGAACTGGAGAGAGCTTCAGCAGCCCAAACAAAGACAATCATCATTGAGCCCTGTAAACTTGGTGATATGACAGCACGTTGGATAACAGTTGGAAACTGTTTACATAAGACATCAGTTTTATCAGGTCTGTCCTCTATGGCCTGCATGTATTTTTATCCTGATCACAGCTGTGTTTATTTCCCACTTGGACTGGTCAGTGTGACCTTTGCTGGGGTGTATGCCGTTTCTTGGCAGTTTGACCCTTATTGTAAATATCAAGTGGAGCACAATGTGCATAGACTGGAGAAACTTCCTCTGCATAATATTGCTTCCAGTAATCCAATAGTGCTGATTCGCCGCGACGACAATAGACGCAAAGTTTTACACAATTTTGTAGCACTGACAGCTACAGGACTTTGTGCATGGAAAATTTACAAATTGTTTATAGAATGAAAATGTTACCTGGTCTTTCATAAGCTGAATATGTTACACATTTTCAGAGAAGAATTAAAATCATTTTTGTGCCTTTATTTATCACAAAATAATTGCTACATTAACACAGTATTTTATTTTTAAAAAGAAAGAAACAAATAGGCATAGTTGATCTAGTACATTATCATTTACCAAGTAATGATTAAATCACCTGTTAAATTGTTACAAACATTATGTTGGTATTCTTGTTCTGTAAAATGGTAAACAGTATCATACATATGAAGTGGGTTTATTTGTTATTGTACATGTCCATTGTAGACCCTACTTTACATATTGTTGTACAGGATTTAAAATTAAATACTGAAATTCACCTATTGTACATTGTCATGTGTAGTATATCATACAGTAACATGTATACATAGTCAGTATGTTTACTTGTGAAGTCACTTCTCTATAATAACTTCCATCAGGTGTTAATTATGAGTATTTGACGCTCTGTCTCTTAAATGTGATAATGTCGATTGACACAAGTCACACTGCACGTTTATTTCACAAATTCTCAGGTATACGTATATGTACATATATATCAAAAGTGCCATCAATTATTTTTTAAATATTGTTTCCTACTGGAATTGGCACGATGTTTCATTATGATAAAGTATATATAAGGAGATAATGTTCTCAGCACAATGGCAAGTCTATGGTGTAAAGGCCCCAACACAACTTCATCTCGTTGTTCAATCACAGACAGAAATATCTGTCTTGCTACATACTCTGGCTCCATCCCATTGGCTATTTCTTTTTCCACAACTGTAACATATAAACCATCTATATAAACATCGTTGTAAAGAAGAAAAAAAATCATGTTAAAGTGTGGTAATACTTTTGTATCACTATCATTCAATGTGATTGTACAAGTTTGGTTACCTATATCAATTACATATTACAGTTAAGATCACACAGGCAGTTTGCCAAGTTCATTTGACATTTTTCTGGAGTTATAGTTATTTTTTCATTCAGCCCAATGGTATTGTCATCAATGGCAACAATTCACTAAATTTTTCAAATGATTGAGTTGAAATATTGACTTTAATTTTTATGATTTGAACAAAGTTGTTAATATTATACCTAATTCTACATTGTCTAAATATAGCTGATAAAAATTAATGCCATCACAAGAAAGGCCAATTAGGTGAAGAAATTAATTAAATTGACAGTGTTTTGAAATAGATGTTACAGAGCTGGTAATTCTTTCTTTATCTACAATGAATGAATGTTCAAATTTTCCACAAAACCACAAGTGTGCAAAATCAGGAAGTATATATCAGGAAGTATAAATCACTGTTGTTCACAATGATGAACTTTCTAAACTAGCATGTGTTACTAACAGCTTATACATTTTAAGGCAAACCTGGTACTCAAGAAGAAATAAGACTGTCTTCATGTTTTTATATCATCAGACTTACATCACATTCTTTAGGAAATGTGTACTAGCTGTGAACATTAACTTTGACTGTTCTAATGCATGTGACTGGTAAAAGCAATCTTACGGCCATATGGAGATCCATCCCCAGTTACAGCATTCTTTGAGAGATTGGTCTTGATATAGCTTGGGCACACCACACACACATCAATGTTACTATCAGCCACCTCAGCCTTCAGACTGTCATGGAATGCATGGAAAGCATGCTTTGAAGCTGCATCTGGAAAATTAGTTTGAAAAATTAATTCACATCAATTAAATGGATGATATTTATCATACTCTCTGAAAATCATGTTGGAAACATACAGTTGATGCTTTGTCTGTCTGTCTCTCTGTCCATTCTTTTTGTGTCCAGAGCATAACTTTGTCCACAGTTAAGTAACAACCATGAAACTGAGCTGAACAGAAATCAGAACAGACTGAAAAACAGACGTGAAAAACATAATGCACCATCAGACAAAAACTCGCCTATCCTCAATGCTCGGGAGCTAAAATCAAACAAAAGTTCAAAAGAGCGAAATATGAATACAATGTACATGTGAACCAATGTCTTCCGACGTAAACAGAAATGGAAAAAGATCTTAACAACATTTTTATGTACTTACATATACATATACCATATTATAAACAGTAGGAAACTAGATTATATACTGTGGGGATGATGGTAGGCTAACTTACAAGAAGATCTGTAGGGGATGGCGATTCTACCCTGAATGCTGCTGATTCCGACAATAGAACCCTCTCCAGCTGATCTCATATAAGGCAGAATTGCTGAATGAACCAAGAGAAAGTAATGTTATTGTGATTATCTTTAATAAAACTTACTTGCCTATGTTTGCTTCACAGATCAGTGATGTCTGAGGATTTCTCTTAAGAATATCAGGATAATATATAAAAACATATAAAAAAAACACTACTGAGGACTAAGAAGCTTTATAATGAATTAACCTTTATCCACCACATAATGTGATGACTTACTTCAAGAATTAACAACTTAATATCATATTGATCTTGCCCAGTATTCTCAAAACATTCACTTTAAATCTGTCAGGCACATAAAAATGTATTTTGTATATTTTTAATGTCATCATCGACAGGAGCCAACAGGTTTCGATCACTGAATGATTGCTATGACTGAATTGTGGAGATATTAACTTTGGTGATATTGACTAATCTGTACCTAAGTTGATTAATCTTTGATGAAATTAACTTTTGATACCTTGGTTATGTTTTAGTGACATCTTTATCCTGAATTGACATCGACTACGTTGAGTTACCTGAATACCATGAGACATCAAAAAATCTCATGCAATACTACACTCAAGTTGATCAATCAAGTCGACATTGATGTATCTCACATCACAAAAACTGACCTCCTCTGATTCTTATTATCTCTTAGTGACATGAACTAATGATGTGACAATGAATTACTTCTGTTGACATTGATCGTCTGGTGTCATTTCTATGTACCAGGTATTATCCTAAATGTGTTGAACTTTACTTACCTTTAGTGAGGGCCACCTGACCAAAAAAGTTGATAGTCATGACCTTGGTAAAAGCATCAACGGTAGTGTCTTCAACCTGGCCACGGGAACTCACTCCAGCATTATTGATCAAGATGTGAATCGGTCCTACTTGTTTGACCATACTGTCTACCTGATCTGGCACACTGCTAATGTTTTCCAGATCCATTAGAAATATCTCGGGTTCCATTTTTTCTGCAGGCTGTAAACATTTCCATATATGTCTTATACCAAGTATACATCAAAGCATATACATCAACATAAGGTGGAATAAACAAGTAACACAACACCAAGTTTCCTAAGTAATAAATAAGCAAATGGTACACAAGTATTGGTATGGCATTGAATGTACTGGAATATTGATACCTCATGGACTGCTTGGTCCTAACTTATCTCATATTTCATGAATATATGTTACAAATTCCTTTTTTCTTTTTTTTTAAAAATTGTTTGCAAATGTCTCGTCAAATTTTACTCAGCAAGATCTTAATGTCTATATATATCAGTACCTTCTTAAGTCGCAGCAGTTGAACTTTGACCCTGTTCAGTTGTGTTTGGTTTCTGCCCACCAGTACCACCCTGCAGCCTGCTTTGTGGAATTCTTTGGCACATGCTAGCCATGCAGCATTATTGCAAAAAAAAATCAATTATTTTTTCCATTTGTTTCATACTGCATTATGATTTATATAATACATAATATAAAATAAACAAAAAATTAGCTTCAGAATATTATATTTATTTTTCACCTGAACAGTTACAAAACTATTCAATGTAATGGACCATTTGTGCGAACTGTAAAATGGTTGTCTCCTACGTTCTGAACTAGGGTACACCTACTTCTTATGTACTGAGTCTATTGACAGGGACAGACCAATACTTCAATTGATGGTGGGTAGCTTACAAGTTTTCTATCTCAGTGACTCGTCCTGTTTCTAGGTATTACATTTCAACTTCCAGTCTCACCTATCCTTACAATTGACGTTGGGCATTGTACAAACTTGACTCAACAGATGTGATGCAATTGTTACAGAACAACAGGACAAAAAAAATCACACAGAATCGCATCCATAGCACCATAAAAACATGCTGATATCCTGATAGGGCTATTCAGGTGGTGAAAAACAACTTGAGGAAAGGAAAGAGAAGACAAAGAAAAGAACCATCACAGAAAAGAATAAAATGAAAAGACAAATATTCTTTATTAAAGAAATCAGATCCCTTAAGGATATATATTGTGGCCATGGCAATGCAACAGCCATGAAAACTCACTAGATGCTCAACACATTTTTTTCCATCCTAAGGACAAAACACTTGAAAAGGATGTTGCAGAATGCATTCACAAGATTGGATGCGAGAACTATGTTGGAGAAATTGGAAGGGCTTTTAGGTCTGACCTGGTAAACACAAGAAGGACACAAAAAGCCATTAAAGGCCAGAAATTCACCAGATTGGACCAGTGGAAAAGAATCCCAAATCAACAAGTCAGCACTAACAGATCATATCAAACAGCAAATCATACAACTGACTGCAACAATTCCTAAGTAAAAAAACAAAGGCAGGTCAAGGAAGCCATCTGCATATTGCTGCAGGAAGCAGGTAATAAACAGGGATGAGGGGACATATAGCACAACAGAGTCAAATTGACTTCCATGATATGTTTATTGCTCCCATCTTATGTATGTATGTAGAACAGAAATTCTTGTAACACAACCAGGGATATCTATCAGCAACAAATTGGCACAGCAATGGGCAGCCCAGTGTCTTCGATTGTGACCAAATTATTCATTAAGCACTTGTTGAAAGAACTATAGTCACAAACCCCCACAAAATGCATGCTCAATTTGTAGAAGCAACATGTTGATTACATATTGGATACAGTCATGAAAGGGTCACAGGAGGATTTGACAGCATATTAATATCGTAAATACCACTAATGCGTCAAATTTACCTGTGAAGAAGAAATTCATGGTACTTTGTCATTGGATACCCTGATTTTGCAAAGATTGAAAGTAAAGAGACGAAATACCAAGGAAAAGAACAAAATGAAAGGACAGGTAGTCAACCCACACATTAAAGGCCAGTTGGAAACTATTCCAAGGATTTACAGTGGTCATGGCATTACAACAGCTGTGAAACAACACAAAACTTTCTAAAATTTCCTAGTCCATCCTAAGGATAAAACATCCAAAGAGAATATTGCAGAATGCCTGTACAAAATCAGATGTAAGAACTCTGATGCATCATATATTGGAGAAACAGACAGGAGATTTGGGATCAGGCTCAATGAATATCAGAAAGATGCGGAATCCCAAGAAAGCATAAAATTTGACTAGATCAGAGCGAAAGCGACTAGTGCTAAATGGGACAAAGGGGGCCACAGACTCTCGCACATCTTAAACAAAGCTTAGTCTAATTGATTACAATACATTACTACTATCTTGTGATTTTTTATTTCTTTCTTCTGTTTACCATCTCGTCACACTATTTTTCAACCTTAGTATGCATAGGATTATAGTACAGTTGAATAGTTGCTCTATTTCTCACCACCTCGTACAGGTGACAATGTAGTCATTGAATGGTCACACAGTGCAAATATTCTTCACAATGGTCATTTGTCTAATCGAGGTAACAATGTAATCATTGAAACATCTGTGCACATCACCTTCTAACCTTTGGTGATGTATAAAAACTTTTATTTAATATCATTATGATACCAACCACAAGAAAATGTTCTGAGATAATAGGAGAACCTGTTTCCAAAATATAATCCTGAGCGGAAATTTGCCCTTTGTATATTGTATTTTCAACAACTGAAAAATTAGGAAAAAAAGTTATTTAATGAAATAGGCTGTTAGATTATCTATTTGTCATAACACACATGACACTTTGTAGCACTTCAATTATAAAATTAAAGTATGCATTGATTACATACAAGTTTTTTTTGGAAATGCAATAAATCTTTCATATCCCATTCAAAATTATTTTTGTAAATTCACCAACTACAAATATTGCTTTTAATCATCAAATTTCACAAGAAAATAACTAACCTTCTCCAAGGCCTGAGCTTGCACCTGTGATGAGGACAGTTTTTCCTACAATGTTCTTTCTGCTTCTTTGAGACCACACAAAATAAAGGAAACAGGCAAAACCCAATGGAGCTCCTAGGATGCTGCATAAACTCTCGCAACCCATAACTAAAAACAACCGAACGAAACAAAATAATAATCCTGAAACTCTTAATACTCTGATTCACCAAGAAAAAAAGATGAATAATAATACCAGCTATTAGAAGCTCTTCAGAGCTCCTGTTCATGTATACATTTTGCCTCTGTTGAAAAATGTGATTAATTTTATAAAAAAAAAAATATATGTGCAACTCTTACAGCTTTGACTTTGCTGCATCGTAGGAGGTATTCCAACATTTGTTGAAAACTACAAAATTTCAACAAATTTATGTAACTAGTTTACATATTGTATTATTACTTTTAAAATACCTGCTGCTTTCTAACAGCAGATCTGAAGACAATTTCTATCTCAAATATTCTAGTATGTTTAAGCATGCACCGAGTTAGCAAGAGGTCCTGAGTCTGATTCCAACAATGACACTGAAAAGTAATGATGTCTGTTTCTGTCCTCATAGTGACTCACATGGTTATGCTCACGATCACTTATTGTACTCCTGGAATGTTTCACAGGATAAATTGAAGGTTTTATGTCTGACACCTTGTAGATAAGATGTGGAGATTAGGTTGATCTTTTGATTTAATCAAATGAATCTTGAGGTAGGATAACTGTATGTTTTACTGGCTTTGAAATTGGATGTCTTTCTTTACCATCTTCAAATGAACATATAAGTCTGTGATTGGTCATTTGAAAGCTGCTCTAAGTGTATCAAATTACTTTGCCTGTGCCTTCAATGATGCCATAAAATGTTCTAAGTGTACAACCAGTGAAAGTGAATACAAAACCTGGAGTATTAAGGATTGGTGACACAGGAATATTGACAATAAAATACATTTAGCATAACACTCATAAACATTATAGGCTATTGCTGCTACCGTTCGAAAATACAAGATCAAATTATTTCTTTGAGAGGGGCTTTGTGTGGATGAATAAAGACTGCTGTTTTCGTTAAGAAAGAAAAATGAGAATAACCCAAAAGTCTAAGTTTGATCCCTTGCAGAGGTTTTGTAAAAATACAATTACCACCAGACCTGTTACAACTGAATAGAAATTGACATGATAATTAGAATTTGACAAATATGCCATCATGCAGTTGTAGCACTTATAGGAAATTCCTAAATCTATTTGTCTTATTGACATCTATTTATTGTAAAGCAGCTAGCTTTTTCCTTTTATATCCAAAACTGTGGAAAGTATCAATACTAATATTTTTTAACAAAATTATAATGTTGTCATTGCAGCTACATATTCACTATAAGGCATAGATCTGCTTCAAAAATTGTACTTTTCCCTTAATAACTATACAGTTGTTTTCAATCGAACTAAAATTATCATAATTGTCAAACATCGCAGCAACTTTCCTCGTTATAACCATCAAGCGTGTCCCTTTTTGGAGTAGATTAGTCAAAATGAAAGTAGGTTGTACCTGCGTTTATGTACCGAGATGATGGAAAATTTCTTCAGTATGGATTTCTGTGCATAAAGTTGGAAAGAACGGAGAAAAAGATCGAGTATATTTCGGCTGTAAAAACTCAACTGAAGGTCGCATGGGGGTATAATCGTGAGTGGGTGGGTCTTACTTGTGGAGTTTGAGTTAACAACGGAAACGGAAGCGAGACAGATTATGCGCAAAATATCAGAGTTTTTTGTCTCTCAGCGCATCTTTGTTGAAGTTTACATTGAGCCGATGGGTCCTGTTTTAGATATGAAAAAAATACTTCCATTTCGTGGAAGAAGAACCCTGAGATGACTATGGGTAGCTGTGAACATCTCCAGGAATACAAGGCGACCCATGGAACCAATTCTTTTCGTATTATCCATACATATTTCATAGCATGCTCATCAGCTGATGCTAGGCGACGGAAGGTTAGCCACCGAATGTTTTGCATTTTCAAAACAAAATGAATATTGCAACCTATATCTAAAATGAACATCATTTCTTATCTAATCATTAAAATCAGACACACTTTTACATTTATTCTCCCACATATATACAGCTACTGGTAATGTCTGTGCTGAAATCAGAGTGTTAGAAAATAAAATCGTATCGACGTTCCATTTACAAACTTTTCAAAATGAAAACGAGTTTCTTTCTCGTTCAACGTACAGAAGCTAGTATAATATTTCCATTTAAAAGTTGTCAATTCGAAACATTACAGTTAGAATATGCTTACCATTTATATATATGTAAATGTTTTGTTCTGGATAACCAGGATGGGGACATCATCTTACTTTAAATTGTATGTATAGGACTTGGCTAGTGTCTAGGAAAAAAAACCTTTCTGATCATTACTCAAGGATGACATTTTATTCAGTAAGGAAAGAACAGATAGTATGTCATTCTACCTACGAACTGAAACATTAAGTCTGAACTATAACGAATGTTTGTGAAATCTGTTGTATTTTAATCAAACCATTCATTTAGTCTAAGAAGGATGAGATACAAGGTTCAAATTTGTAATGCAATCTGTTGTGTGTTAACAGTACTGTAACCTTTTGACTTCTAAATAACCATTTGTCAGAAGGTGATGAAACTTGGTGAAAGTCGTCTGAAAGTGTAGGAATTAGAATTAGGAATCGGTGGAATTATAGGAAGCTGTCAGTTAGATTTTGAACAAACACATCCTCACTCACAGACCTAACAGAGGGCTGAGAGGAAAGGTGGTTTCGGAATGCCAGACATTTTTTCCCAAAGAAGCCTTTTTTCAGATTTTGTGTATGCATGTAATTGTCTTGCGAAAGGATACCAAAACCTTGGGTGCAAACAGTAATGAAATTATTGAAATGTGTGCATTTTGGTATTAAAATTTTTTATTACTTTATAAAATTTCAGGCCAAATCCTGTGTCTGTCACACCTGCAGACAGCATGGACCCCGCCTGCATGCCTGCCTTCACTGTATATACTTTGGATGTTATGGTGCTAAGCATATCCATGAACATGCAGAAACTACAGGTCATTTCCTTGGTAAGTTTTACCTTTTTATTTTTTTTCCCCTATTTTTGGCTTTTTTTCATTCTGTTTTTGTGTTTTATTTAAAAATGAATATGTACACAAAAATGTGATATGTATAGCTTTACCTAAATATTATGCAATCATTAGTACCAAGAGAAAACCATGTGGTTAAGCAAGTGAAGTGACTTACATTTTGTATCTAACTGGGGATCTCACTGTCTCATGGAAGGACAAGAACATAGTCCACTGTACCACACAACCACCATGGATTGACAGTTTTTTTTCAGTATTGTACGGAATAATATGTTTTATGATTTCAACAGATTTTGTTGTACTTTATGTTTTCAGCTGTTGACATGATCCATGGCGCTGTCTACTGTTTTGAATGTTGTGACTATATGTATGATGAACAACTGGAAGAGATAGCAAGGAAACAGTATAAGAAATCAAAAAAGCGCATAGGTAAAGTGTCTGAATTGAGCTGTATTGTATATTTCAACAATATTATGTCCAAAGCCATGGAATTTCAGGGCTATAATAGCAGGAATAAGGTGTTATTTGTGGAAGGTTATGAAAGTCCAGTCTCTTCCATTTCTTAGTCTTAGTCAATCAATGGGAATTATAATAATTGATAAACAGATCAAGTAGACAATCAATAACCTAGCATTTTTTAAAGCAAATAAATTTTCATTTGATATGAGATCTTATGAAAGGAGTCTTTGAATTTTTTATTTACTCAACAAAAGTGAAAACTTCATAGACTTGTTTTATAAAACTCCATAAAAATGAAAACAAATTTAAGATATTTTTTATAGCATAGCAAAGAAATGTGACATTTCGACAGGTTTTATAGTGGAAATAAAGAGAAAAAGTCAAGGATGACAGCCATTTTGTTTTTCCATTTTCAATTCATATATAACTATTTTCATTGAAAGTCCTGTGATTTTATCCAGACTGACATGAATCTTATGTCATCAGAGTGAGATGTTTTCCAGCCAATGCATTATGTGTGTGATTATAGTGATGTTTTTTGGAAATGCACAGATTCAAAACTTACTGTAAAACCTGTTCCCATGTCATTTCATTCCACCAGATCTAGTCAGCATACAATTAGACATATGATTTGTACTTTGTAATTTAACAGGCGAATGCCTTTCCAAATTCAGTTGAATATATATCATATGTGCTTTGACTTGGTTAAATATCAATATTTTATTAACAACAAGGTAGTAACATTTTTTGCAAAATCTTACACTCTTTTAAATGTTGGCCCAAGGAGATCTTTCCACACAAGTGATCCTGATGTCCCTCAATCTTTGTCAAATTGAAAGAATTACAAAAAACAATACTTTCACATTGAACTGAAATTAGTGTTCACCTGTGAACCATTATGTAACTGGTTATCCAGTTGGGGCTGCCCTTGGAGAAATTTTATGTCTTATTTTATAATGCTACTGAATTTTGTAGCCAGTTAATCTTTGGCATCGCTAATAAAAATATTTGGCCTTACTCTTGCTTGTTTTAATTCCTATTGATTGTTACTCAAGATTATCCATCTGACACTTGAGGTACCTTGTTCACCCATCTAGGTTGTCAATTCATTAAGTAGTAGTTACTAATAGGATTCTGTTTCTGTTTGAAGAAAGAATGATATACATTTTTATCCTGCAACTGGTAGTGTCATTGTTTGAATACACCTGCCACATATATTTTCCTGAATTCAGCAGTGACTGAAAACAGTTTTATTTAGCATGTGCGGTAATTCAACAGAATTACTTTCTGAATTTACTTTTAAAATTACGTTTAATAATATTAGTAACTGTTGAAATACATGATTTTATATGTTGTAATGAAGAAGTTGTATTTACACAAATACATAAAAACCGTTATATCCACTGAAGTTTGGAACTAAATTTCTATGTGGAGCATTTTTTGGCATACATCATCAGACAAACTTCAGCGTAACGTCAGCTACAGGTAAACAACAAACTACTGAAGTTTTGATTGTCTGATTTTCAATCAATTTTGCAGGATAAATAGAATACATGGTCAGTGTCTTAAAATATAAGTTGTATTTTGGCTTGTGACAGAAAAACAAAAGTAACTTGTCAGAAGCTCGCTTCTTTTGTCTTTCTTCACCCTTGCCAAAATACAACTTGTGTTTTGAGACACTACTATGTATTCTATATATAATAGTGATAGAAAGCAATGCAACAATATCTTGTCTACTTAAACCAACATCAATTGTCTTCTCTCATTAACAGAATGTTGTGGTGGTTCATTAAATTGATAAATTGTAGAAGACACTGTTTTTGATCATGTGTACTTGTATGCTTCTGTCATGTTACATGTACTTTTGTTTTACTCTAGGTTTAAAGACTAATTTCTCATCATGGGAACCCTCTGAAGTAGAGATAGAAATTCTTCGACAGAATCCAAAGAGAAGAAAAGTAGAAATGAAGTCTTCTATAGGTGACATTATCATATTAAATCTTGAATAAAATGAAGTTTGAAATCTCTAATTATAGATGGCCCATAATACCTTTCAAGTAATACAATAGCATCAACTGTTGTGGAATCATGATTATATTTGTCCTGTTCACCAGCATTAGATGGCCAGTTTGTGATATGGTCTTTTATCGTGTTGTAAGTTTCTTGTATGATCTGCTCATCCTAAAACAATACTTGATACTATTTTCAAAAAGGTATAGAAAAAAATAATTAAGAACAAATATAAGTTTCTGTTCCATTTCATGTTAAATAATGAAAATTAAAAAAAAAAAGTACTACTTGCAGAAATGAGAAATCTCTCGCCCTTCATAGGTGCCAGTGTGCCTCTGGTAACTTTGGTGTCTGTTTTATATATGTATATTTTCAAAATTTGTTGAGGATAACCAAAATTCTAACATTTGTGATCTTTTCATCACAAAGGTTTACGAGGCTTGATCAATTTAGGAAACACCTGCTTCATGAATTGTATTGTACAAGCCTTGACTCACACCCCGGTGCTACGTGACTTCTTTCTGTCAGACCAGCACAGCTGTCAGGTGCTCAGCCAGGATGCAAGGCAGTGCCTTGTTTGTGAAATGTCACGTCTGTTTCAGGAGGTAAAGTACACCACAAAGGACATCCTTTGATTATTTTATTGATATATTTCACCTTTTGTAATGATAACCTGATACAGTTTTACAGAAACAAACAGGAAATTAATATTTCAATATGAAAAGTTAAATGAAACTTTGATATTATACCATTGGGGAAACACATTGAAAATTAACATTTCAATTTCAACAAATTTTATTGTCAAATTGACAAATGGTTTTGGCAGCAGGCATAGCCTATTTAAGCACTCTCATTGAAAATTAATATCAATAAATACATGTATGCACATATCGGGAGAAAAAGTTAGAGACAGCTGTTATACCTACACTGCAAGTAATATATAAAACATGTTTAGTTATGGAGTGAAATTTGAAATAATGTACAAACGTTTCCTGGATATGATGTTTATGTATTTCAAATGTGATAGACAGTCGTAAAAGTATTTGGAATTCCATTAACACAAACAATAGGTAAGTTTTTACAAGAAAATGAAATGGATACAATCTAGAAAGAAAGAAGTGTTTTGCTGAAATCTTAGTATACTTTTTGTCTCCCACTTACAATTATGGCTGTACATCATTTTTAGCGGTTTTATGTACCAGAGTTGATCTTGATGTTTTCTCTGTTTTTCACTCTATTTTAAGGTGGAAGGGCATGTAATGTTGCTACCCATGTCCATCGTTATCATATCAAGGGGGTGAATAGTCACTGTTAAAAGGTCAAAGGTCACATTTGACAACTTCGGCAAATTCATTAAATAATGATACTTCAATTCATGGGGGTGGTTGCATTAATGTCTTACAGGACATTTTCTCTTACAATATGATTAATTTTCATCATTATTCTTGATGAGAAATTTGGACATGCAAGTTTGATATTTGCACAACACCTTTTTTTTCCCTCTGCCATGAAACAGCTGTTTGTGCTGTCTGTTTGTAAGTCAATAGGTAAAATCTTGTTGAGATCTAATGTTGTGAATTGTTTATTAGTGTATCAGTTGTAGGATAATGACTTACACTTTAACATTGATGTTATATACCATGTAAATATTTTCTAATCATGTTAGATTTCTGACACATTTTGAAGATATTGTTTTGTGTGCCTTTCAATATTTTTAAAGCATCGTTCAGTTACAATATAAAAGTTACATTTTAAGTAAAATCCATTTATGGGTACCAACCAAAGAATCAATAGAAGTAATAACCAGATATTTGAACCATGGATGGAAGTGATTAATGTTGGAGTCTAAGGATCAAGTAGATTTGTTTACTGGAATGGACCTTAAAGCTTTTCTATATTTTGTTGTCAAACTGTTGTTTAGTAAGGTATAGTGTTGTTTCAGTCCTACATTGTTAAGATTAGTACCAAATTCCCTATTTTATTTGCTTTTTAGTTTTATTGTGGAGCTAGAACTCCACACATCCCGTACAGACTACTTCACTTGGTGTGGACTAATGCACGACACCTGGCTGGTTATGAGCAGCAGGATGCTCATGAATTCCTAATAGCAGCCCTGGATGTGTTACACAGACATTGTAAAGGTTATTCCGATAATATTTTATTATCCTACAACAGTCAATTAAATGCAGGTTGGTACAGTTTTCAGTTAGGTGGATGTGTGTTCCTATAACCTGCAGATTAATATCAGCTGGATGCTTGGTGTGCAATCAAATGAGACATCTTGTCATTTCCAGATTTCACTATACTAATTACTGAAATATGGACCAAAGATAATGACTTTCAATTTGTGATTTTCAAAAAAGAAATCTTCATTAAATCTTTAGACAATTTCTGCTTTTCAAGACTTAAATAAGAATTCAAAATCTAATTAAGATCTGCTGCCAAAGATCTGTGTGGATTTGCTATAAATCTCTTGATTTCAAACACTACACCTTTTTGATAAGCACTTTCTCTCATTGTGACCAACTCACCCACTGTTGCACTCTCACAGGGAAGGATCTTATTTAATTCTACTAATTCCTTTAAATACTTCCTTCCATTAAATTGATGATAAACATTTTTATTAATACAACATTTATTTAAAATTGTGTTTGTTTCTAGTAATTTTATAATATGATTATTTTGGTATCAATTAATGAAGTCACAAATGCTATGAATTGTGAAATCATTTATATATTTGTCTGTTGATTTTCTATCAAATATTTTGGTGTACAGGTTTATCTAGCCACTGAAGGGTTAGTGTACCACATTTTATCAATTGGTAACGTACATGCTCTGTTACATTCATCAGAAGACCAGTACAACCATCAAAATTTAATTGTAAATTATGCAACGGAATCACCTTATGTACACTGAGATGTTCATGAGTGACATTGTGTGATCTAAGATCTGTCTGATGTAACAGGATTTTGTCTGATCTGTAGGTTCTGCCTCCTCAGGAACCTCTGACAGTAACGGCAGTGGAAACCCTCACCACTGTAACTGTATCATAGACCAGATTTTCACGGGTGGTCTCCAGTCAGATGTCACTTGTCAACAGTGCAAGTAAGTAGTGTTCTGCAATTGGTAGGACACAATGTAAATTTTCTGTCTTTGTATAAGTCTGATGGGATTTCAAATATATAAAATGTAATGAAATTAGAAAATAATTAGGCTTATATTTCAAGAGATAAAATTGATAGATGGTTGACTTTAAGTAATGTTTCTAATATGGTTAATTTTCAGTAATATTTCTAATATGGTTAATTTTCAGTAATGTTTCTACAACGATCGATCCAATTTGGGATATTTCTCTTGATTTGGGTCCTGGTCCACCACCTGGAGGCAACAATAACTCCAACTCTTCTCCAAACTCAGGTAAGACATGACATAGTTAATGCTGGTTGGTAACTATCCAACTATTTGCACTGATCTCTGGTTAGGTATATATCTAATGCTTCACATTAAATATTACACTCTGGTGAGGTAAATATCTATCACTTCACATTAAACATTACACTCTGGTGAGGTAGATATACGACTCTTTACACTAAACTCTGGGTGAAGTGTATATCTAATGCTTCACATTAAACTCTGAGGAGGTAACTATCTAACACTTCACATCAAACATTACACTCTGGTGAGGTAAATATCTAACACTTCACATCAAACATTACACTCTGGTGAGGTAAATATCTAACACTTCACATTAAACATTACACTCTGGTGAGGTAAATATCTATCACTTAACATTAAACATTACACTCTGGTGAGGTAAATATCTATCACTTCACATTAAACATTACACTCTGGTGAGGTAAATATCTAACACTTAACATCAAACATTACACTCTGGTGAGGTAAATATCTATCACTTCACATTAAACATTACACTCTGGTGAGGTAAATATCTATCACTTAACATTAAACATTACACTCTGGTGAGGTAAATATCTATCACTTAACATTAAACATTACACTCTGGTGAGGTAAATATCTAACACTTCACATTAAACATTACACTCTGGTGAGGTAAATATCTATCACTTAACATTAAACATTACACTCTGGTGAGGTAAATATCTATCACTTCACATTAAACATTACACTCTGGTGAGGTAAATATCTATCACTTCACATTAAACATTACACTCTGGTGAGGTAAATATCTATCACTTCACATTAAACATTACACTCTGGTGAGGTAAATATCTATCACTTAACATTAAACATTACACTCTAGTGAGGTAAATATCTATCACTTAACATCAAATATTACACTCTGGTTAGATAAATATGCAATTCTTTACACTAGACTCTGGTTGGGTAACTATCCGATTCTTCACATTACACTCTGGTTAGGTAAATATCTATCACTTCACATAAAACATTAAACACTGGTATGGTACATGTCCAACACTTCACACTATGCTTTGGTCAGGTAACTTTCCAACTCTTTACATTAAACTCTGGTGAAGTTACTATCCAACACTTCACAATAACCTGTAGTTGAGTTACAGTCCAACTGTTCACTGAATTCAATTGACTTTCCTACTAGTTTTCAACTTTGTTGAAAGGACTGTTCTTGTGATAAAACTATTCTCTTTTGATTATAGTAACTTTACTTAATTTTTACAATAAGAGTTGTTTACAGTACTTGATGACTAATAAACGACAGTTCTGAATGCTTTTTATTACACTCAAATATTGCAGGTATTTGGATTGACTTTTCATTATATTTTCCCTTTGTTTCAGGTTTTTCTAATAGCCCCGGAACATATGAACCTACCTCACTTTTAGAATGTTTAAAAAGGTAAGAAAAAAATTGTCTTCTCCACTGCACAGAAATATCCACACATTCAATCAGAGTAATATATTTCTATCTGTTAGGGGTGAACAGGAAGTGACCTTTAATGACATTGTTCATCGTTTATGTCAAGGTCAGCCAGGGTCAGGGTTATTGACAGCATTGATAATTATCATCTGGGCTTTGTATGCCAAGTTACCAATAGCATATCACAATTGTGCAGTCACATATTATTAGTATTAACAAGTAAAATGCTTACGGTTGAAATGGGCTGAAAAAAACTTCCTAACTTGACTGAACAATAAAAATATTTCTACCCATATCTTACTGTGACACTGGGGGAAGATCATTTCAACCTTTATTTTCAGGTAGCTTAATGAAGCTGAAAGATTCTCTCTGATCCAACCTCATCCTTTGTTGTCTGTTATCCCTTATCTAAATATTCAGTTACTTTTCAAAAATTGCTGGAGTGATTTCAGTTTTATAGAAAGTTTCCACAGGGAATGACAAAATAGTCTCTGTTAAAATTGTCATCAGAATGGTCCTGCATCTCTAGAAATTAAGGATGCTGAAAAGTTTGACTTACAAAAGTTTTGCATTTAGTTCAATTTCTCAATAAGCACAAGTGATATTCCAATCAAATCTTGAATATAGATTAGTTAAGTTATAGTATGGACATTTGAACTCACCTAATAGATTACATGAATTTTTGTGTTTTTTATCCTCCTTCAAAATGTTTTCGGGGAGCAAATAGTTACTGATTTGTCCTTATGTTCTCTCATTTTTGGAGCATAACTTTGCCTACAGTTAAGCAAGGATCATGAAACTGAGTGTATACATTGATCATACTAAGAGGATATGCAGTGTACAGAATTCAGGGCCTGATTGAAAAACTCTCTTTGAATGATATATCCCAAAGTACTTTTGTTTAGTTTTAGTGAGAAATAATTCTTGGTTACAATCAGGTATCAGTTTGTTGCTATGAGAATAAAGATGAAGACCGTCCCTGGGGCCTGAAGGGCGGGACACAAAGGAGACAATTTACTTACATCACCTTATGGTTTGAATGTCAAAAGATGCTCTATCGAAATTGTAAATTTCCTAAAACCAAGGTCCAATGTTTCCCTCTAGAAAGGGGAAAGTAATACATATGGATGTATTTGATTTTTGTTTTTTTTTTAAGAAATTAATGTAATCAGATTTTTTTTTTTTTTTTTTAAGAAATTAATGTTGTCATCAGATAGCAGTTTTCAACAAAATTTGATATGATTTTTTAGGTCTCTGTTCTGTTTTTGTAACTCTAATTACAGATGGTTAGGTACCTACTGCACATCAAGTTGCAAATCTGAAATGGCTGTGAAAATTTCTTATAAAGTTTCTTGTTTGGTTTTTCATTGGAGAGGGAGTCGGGCATAGCAGTAGAGTATTTTACTTTGACTTAATAACCTTTTGTAAAGATTGAGATGTGTGGTTTGACAATCACTGATCTGTTCGTTAAAATAGGTTGTCTTGTACCACAGAGGTTTTGTCTGATAACAAGACACTTTACCCCAAATGCTCTGGGTGGCCTACAGCATCGTCAAAATTAGTGTTGATGGGGGATACACATAACAATCAAAGAATTGCCTAAATCTGGCTTGTAAAATTGCACTTCATTTTAATAATCTAAAATTTATACAGAAATAGTCACATGATTTACATTATTTTCTTTATCAGGTTTACAAAACCAGAGCACCTGGGCAGTTCAGCCAAGATAAAATGCAGTACCTGTGGTAGTTACCAAGAGTCTACCAAACAGCTCACCATGAAGAAACTGCCTATAGTAGCATGCTTTCATCTCAAAGTAAGAAAACAGTGGAGATGTCTTAATAATCTTCTTCATAAAGTCATTATGTTTTGTGTACTCATCCTATAGTGAAAACAGTGGAGAAAACAGTTCCCTTAACTAAAGGACTAAGTTAGAACAGAAAAATTCATATAATTCAATATATTAACTTTTGGTTTCTCTGTAAATAATAAATCTTTTGTACAATGGTTAATTGCCAACTTATGTATTTTTTCAGAGATTTGAGCATTCAACTGGGTACCACAAAAAGATCTCAACTTATGTGTCATTCCCAGAGGAACTTGACATGACACCATTCATGTCCTCCTCTCGAAGCAACACAAATGGTTACAATAATCAGGTCATTCAGGAATCTTCCAGGGGGCTTTCATGTGATAACAAGTAAGTAAAAATCTTTACTTTATTGTAAGTATCCTCCTGGAGGTTTGTATTGTTATATATAGAACCAGGGTTTCCTAATAGTTTGTATTGTTATATATAGAACCAGGGTTTCCTGATAGTTTGTATTTTTATATATAGTACCAGGGTTTCCTGATAGTTTGTATTGTTATATATAGTACCAGGGTTTCCTGACAGTTTGTATAGTTTGTATTGTTATATATAGAACCAGGGTTTCCTGATAGTTTGTATTGTTATATATAGTACCAGGGTTTCCTGATAGTTTGTATTGTTATATATAGAACCAGGGTTTCCTGACAGTTTGTATAGTTTGTATTGTTATATATAGAACCAGGGTTTCCTGATAGTTTGTATTGTTATATATAGAACCAGGGTTTCCTGATAGTTTGTATTGTTATATATAGAACCAGGGTTTCCTGATAGTTTGTGTTGTTATATATAGAACCAGGGTTTCTTTAGAAACTGATCTCTAACCATTGATACCCTGTTAGATAAATAAGGTAGAGAGGTGCTGTATATAATGTAGTGGTGCATTTATTTCACTTGTTCTTTAAATGAAATGTTCAGATGACAATTATGGTCAAGGTAGTAAGGTACAAAAGACATTGATTTGGTTTTACATTTTCACTGTTATATTAGTGTCAGTGCAAATGCTACACAAGGAAAAGGAAATAAAGGAATCATGTATTCAAGAAATTGATAAATAGAACAAGTAGAAAGAAGATGATTTAAAAGTAGATTAGAAGTTCACAGTCTCTTGGTTTCAGACAAGGACACAAAATTGTGTACAGTAGCCTTAATGAGCCTATGTTTCTTGATATCCACAAATATCCAGTAATTATTATTCATGTAATTCTTTCTTAGAACTGACAGAGTAATACTATGATTGTTCATGTTGTACATAACAGGTATTCATTGTTTGCTGTTGTAAACCACATGGGCACAATAGAGAGTGGTCATTACACCTGTTTCATCAGACAGCTGAAGGACCAGTGGTTCAAATGTGATGATCACCTCATCAACAAGGCATTGGCCGGTGATGTTCTCAACAGTGAAGGGTAAGGATATGACATCTGTAAATCCTTATATATACTTTTATATATATATATATATAACAAATTACATGAACATCAAATAAAGTTAGGCAAGGTGTTATATACAGATAACATGATCTGCCCTCATTATCAGCTGATGTGGTAGAGTGTTTGGCTTTATAGCCTTAGGCGAAGGTTTGAAGATCACTCCTCTGGACAGTTTGTATTTCTCAGAAAGCTGGGAAACCAATTGTCCTGTACTGTTGTGATTTTGTTCTTGGAAAAGACACTTTATCCAAATGGCTTTTGGTGGAATGTGATGGGTAGCCACCAGCTACTACCAGGAAACCCCACTTAATATTGATTTTTACTTCTGACAGGGCAATTGACCTAGCAAACTAACCAGCATTCAATACTTACTAAATTATGAATCTTGTATGTTAAAAGCACACAGGCACAAAAAACAGAATTTTATTCATGAAATGATTCAGGGACTTTTGATTTTTTTGTACTGGTGTATATAACCAGGGTTGTAATATTCAAATGAGTGACATGATAGCTCAGTAATTAATGTTATACTTGTTCAGTTTTTACTTATCATGTTTGTACTATACTGATGTTGTATATATTTATCACACACAGGTATCTGCTGTTTTATCACAAACAAATACTGGAGTATGATTGACCCTGATGGAATCTTAGTTCTCAAGCCTGTGTACTGTTGTGTGTGGATAGACATCAGATTTATGGACACTGCTTCCATGACCAATGGAGTTGTAAATTGTATTGCCTCATATTCATAGGCCTCAAGTAAAAATACCACTGCCATAGACATACAGACTGCTGTTGCGGTTAGTACAGCCAATGTACACATCAACACCTAGGAACTGTAGGTCTATTATGAAGAGTTTTGTTGGTAATTAAAACACACACACTCCTTGTAAATAGAAGCCATGTATGATGAAACTGGTTGACAACATTGATAGCACATCTTTGGAAATCACGGCTGCTTGAAGACTCTGGTATGGTTGGTTAGAATATTATGTATAAACACTACTGTAGCACACCACATATCAAAGACACATTGAAAGTATTTATATGGTATTTTAGGTATATGATTTGAATGACAAACATGTAGATAAACTTGTTTATTTGTATTACTATTTGATAATTCTCTTTATTCAGGTTAAGTTGTAAGTAGTCTTGTCTGGCCAACCCTGTTTTACTTACCAAAGAAGAATATAAATTATAAGATGATAAACTACCAAGGGTCTGTTGGTTACTTAGGGCCTGTTGGTTTATATGGACAGTTAGTCGATGTATGTACCATGTTTATAATAATGACAAACCTGAAGTATAAATCAGGTTTCCAAACAAAGGCTTCCTTGAGGCAGAAAGCAAACTAAAATCAGTAGGTCCATCTATATTCATAAATTAACTTAACTGGTGAAACTGATAAAAAAACCAATTTACCTAAGGCCAACAATCAGAGTGAATTTTAGTGCTATGGTGTAGCACAGTCAGTTTACATTGTATTATTATTGTGTAGCACTATCAGTATGCACACTGTACTTCTATGGTGTAGTACCTTCAGTGTGAATTGTTCTGTTGTGAGATGGTGTATCACTGTAATTTAAATATTGTACTATTGTTATATATCACCATTGGTGTACATTGTACTGATGTGGTGTGGCACCATCAGTGTACATTGTGCTGTTGTGGTGTAGCACCATCAGTGTACATTGTACTGTTGTGGTGTAGCACCATCAGTGTACATTGTGGTGTAGCACCATCAGTGTACATTGTGCTGTTGTGGTGTAGCACCTTCAGTGTACATTGTACTGTTGTGGTGTAGCACCATCAGTGTCCATTGTACTGTTGTGGTGTAGCACCAGCAGTGTACATTGTGGTGTAGCACCATTAGTGTATATTGTACTGTTGTGGTGTAGCACCATCAGTGTCTGTTGTACTGTTGTGGTGTAGCACCATCAGTGTACATTGTACTGTTGTGGTGTAGCACCGTCAGTGTACATTGTACTGTTGTGGTGTAGCACCGTCAATGTACATTGTACTGTTGTGGTGTAGCACCATCAGTGTCTGTTGTACTGTTGTGGTGTAGCACCATCAGTGTCTGTTGTACTGTTGTGGTGTAGCACCATCAGTGTCTGTTGTACTGTTGTGGTGTAGCACCATCAGTATCTGTTGTACTGCTGTGGTGTAGCACCATCACTGTCTGTTGTACTGTTGTGGTGTAGCACCATCAGTGTTTGTTGTACTGTTGTGGTGTATCACCATCAGTGTCTGTTGTACTGTTGTGGTGTAGCACCATCAGTATCTGTTGTACTGCTGTGGTGTAGCACCATCAGTGTACGTTGTACTGTTGTGGTGTAGCACCATCAGTGTACATTGTACTGTTTTGTTGTAGCACCATCAGTGTACATTGTACTGTTGCGGTCTAGCACCATCAATGTACATTGTACTGATGTGGTGTAGCACCATCAGTGTACATTGTACTGCTGTGGTGTAGCACCATCAGTGTCTGTTGTACTGCTGTGGTGTTGCACCATCAGTGTACATTGTACTGTTTTGTTGTAGTACCATCAGTGTACATTGTACTGATGTGGTGTAGCACCATCAGTATATATTGTACTGCTGTGATGTAGCACCATCAGTGTCCATTGTACTGTTGTGGTGTAGCACCATCAGTGTACATTGTACTGTTGTGGTGTAGCACCATCAGTGTACATTGTACTGTTGTGGTGTAGCACCATCAGTGTGGGTTGTATTCATTTTGTACACATCACTTTGGTGGTGTATTATTAGGTGTTCTTGTAACAACAGTGATGATTGTTACTTTGAACTTTTTGAATCATATCAAATAGATTTTTACTTTTGATACATTGATGGCTGTCCCAACTATTTATGTCATTGATAAACACATCTAAATAAAATAAGTGGTATTTATTTCATGTCAGGAAGGGTCATATTTAAATTAGTCAAAGGCATTTTTGTTAAGGAGGGACACCTAGATGAGAACAAAGTATTCATGTCTGGTAGAGACAAATCTAAATGAGTAGAGATATTTATGTCAAAAGATTGAGTTAACCAGTGTGTTAACCAAGTGAAAATTTGGAAATTTTTCACTTACCACTGGTTATCTTTAATGAGCATTTGAACAATTGGGACCAGGTATTTATGTCGGGGAGGGACACACCAAAATGAGTAGAAGATATTTATGTCAGGGAGGGACACACCTAAATGAGTAGAGGGCATTTATGTCAGGGAGGGACATAGCTAAATGAGTAGAGGGTATTTATGTCAGGGAGGGACACACCTAAATAAGTAGAGGGCATTTATGTCCGGAAGGGGCATAGCTAAATGAGTAGAGGGTATTTATGTAAGGGAGGACACACCTAAATGAATAGAGGATATTTATGTCCGGGAGGGACACATCTAAATGAGTAGAGGGTATTTATGTCAGGGAGGGACACATCATATATAGATGAACAGTGTTGATATTTGTCCTTGGTTTACAAGTTTAACTTTTCTTCAATACTTGTGTCTGTTGTTAGACATTTGGTTAAGACCCTCTACGCGATGACCATGACAGATGTACATTACATTCAGCCACCATGACTGTTCATTGTTTTCAGGTAAATGTTGACAAATACCTTCAGACATTTCTGTTTGGAAAGTTTTTTTGTTTTTTTGTTTTTTTTTTTTCATTTTAGACTTTTTCGAAAATTGAATAAGAGGTTTATATCATTGTAATATGACCTATATGATACTTAAACATATTATTCAGTTGATCTCTTACATAAATGTCTGTTTCTTGAGGTGATGGAAAGTGATGATATAGGCTACAGTAGATAAATACTGCTGTGGTGTTACCACTCATGAGAACCCAAGAAGCCAAGCTCATTATAATTATGTGATTCCAATATATGGATGTCAGGGATATCTCTATCTAGTTAGAATGTCGGAGGTCGGAAGTTGATGGTCTAATACAGTGAAATACCATGGAATGGTGACTGTATTCATTTTTTTAGAGTCTAGTATGTAACTAGATCGGAATGAATTAAAATTATTATAACTTATATATATATTATACTGGTACAAGTAATACATATAGAATTTTGGCAATGGATCCTGTATAGGATACCAGTAAGGACAGTATGTAGTGATTGGTATGAATGACCGTGATGGGTGGGAGCAGTATGTATGTAGAACTGAAGTGTGGATATGTTTGGTTAGTTGTAAGTCATCAGGTGTTCATGGAGACATAGTAATGATTGGTATATCTCCTTGGGCAGATGCCCGTCACATGTACACGGTATGGCTATAGAATGTATGCTGTAGGTCATGAATCTTGAATTGGAAGGTGTGATTGAATCTCTGCCACATTATTATTTGCACAGGAAGATGTATTTCTATATTTTGTATATTATGAAATTAGCTGGTGATACCTAGCTGGATCTACAGGGACCTAAGCAGGCATTAGTCTCACTGCTGTTTGTTACCTGCTTCAAGGTGTGGCCTTGGTTATTTTGTAGAGGTGAGAGTAGTATTTATATACATGTGGATGGTTTTGTAAGACAAATCTGTATTATAGTATAGGATGTGTGTTAGAGTGTTACTTAGTTGGTAATGGGTTGTGTTGGAATTATTACATATACAGTATATTTGAGTATTTGCAGTGTATGTTAAAACTGATTTGTATGGGATGTGTACACACATGTAAAATACTATATATAAATATGTAACTTTTCACTTATCTAAACCCTTTCAGTACTTTAACATTACTACTCATTGGTGTCATGTGTCCTTTTATGAAATAGAATTTTTCATCTCTATTTAATTTGCTATGATTGGTTCTTCTGTTTTTATCAAACTTGAACCAAAGATAACATTTTGTAAATATTTGTTGCTCTAGATCAGTATTTTTGTGTAGTACTCACTAGAGTAAACCAAAGTGAAGATTATTATTCTTCAACATTCAGTAGCATGGATCTAGAGGCCCACCATATTTAACAATAATTATGGTATATCCAGAACATCATAGTAGTAAAATTGAATGCTAATTGAAGAACATGTTTGATTGTGGTCTTTAAGTGACTATTTTACAATAATAATACACATGTACTTGAAATGTGTGATTGGTGAACATCTGATGCATGTATTTGTTGTAGAGCTGATTTAGATAAGAGCATTATATAGAGGCGAGTGTGAAATTACAATGTAAATACAATCTTATATTTGACCCCACCAATATTCTTAGTTTTATATTTCTAGGTCTGTACTTAAATAAATGTCATGTTAGTCTATCATGAACTTTGACACTGTAAATGTTCAGGGATTTGATGTCTGGTTGGTAGAGATGAAAAAGCACATGAAATATACACTTTTTATCTGAATGGGATGGTAAATCTATTCATGGAAGATTATTATGTTACATACAAAAGAGAGGTCATAAAGTCCTTTATAGATATAAGGATATAAGACATTCTGCTGTCTGTTTTTATATCATCTAAAGGATATAAGGCATTCTGCTCTCTGTTTTTATATCATCTAAAGGATATAAGACATTCTGCTGTCTGTTTTTATATCATCTAAAGGATATAAGGCATTCTGCTCTCTGTTTTTATGTCATCTAAAGGATATAAGGCATTCTGCTCTCTGTTTTTATATCATATAAAGGATATAAGAATGCTGCTCTCTGTTTTTATATCATCTAAAGGATATAAGGCATTCTGCTCTCTGTCTTTATATCATCTAAAGGATATAAGGCATTCTGCTCTCAGTTTTTATATCATCTAAAGGATATAAGAATGCTGCTCTCTGTTTTTATGTCATCTAAAGGATATAAGGCATTCTGCTCTCTGTTTTTATATCATCTAAAGGATATAAGGCATTCTGCTCTCTGTTTTTATATCATCTAAAGGATATAAGACATTCTGCTCTTTGTTTTTGTGTCATCTAAATTATATTAGGTATTCTTATGATAAAAATATTGACTCTCCTGTACTATAGAGTTTATAAATCTGTACCAACCATATCTACCATGTTATATATGGATGACATGCTTCTTTTGAATTCTTTTTTCTCCTGACATTTTTTCTTTAATTTGTATTGGTTTTCTTCAAATGTCATTACAGTGTCTAAACTATGTGTTGTGTCAATCTGGTCTTGTCTTTTAACTTCTGAAGCTTTACAGCTGATATTTTAACTATCTTATTAATGCTTTTCTATGGTAAAGCATATTCTATATATATTGGTTGAGATTGTACATCATGAGAGTGAAAACAAGCAACATGTGTCAGTTTATCAAAATAGTAACAATTCAATGATATGATCCAAATACATTTGTAGTTTAAACTTAACAAACTTGAGGAAATGTATAACAAGATACCCGTATTTTTTACAGTTGCGATACGTGTACATTTTTATCTATATAATTTATTGACTGATACAAGAATCTTATCTGTGGGTATGTGTTGTGGTAGTCACATTTCATGTTCTATATTGTGTGTACTGTAGTTAAAAAACTTTAGTGTTAAAGCTGTCTTGCGTTTTACTGGAGCATGGTATTCAAGTACGGCTCTGGTAAGCTAATTGTGATGTAAATCCCCAAGTGTGCTGTATGATGTAAGTTAAATATAAACCCTCAACCGTTGTCCTGTGTGATGCGAGTAATGAGGCCTTGGGTAAGCTTTCTTGGAAGAGTAATGCGTAATGCTATTGATACAAGGATTGAGATAAACTGCATGATATGATGAGACCAAAGTAAGCAGCCTTAGTAATGAATAAAGAGCTGTGTAAAGTAAACAAAAGCAGTGAGGATAGTACACTTGTGAGTAATGAACACACTGTAAGCTTGTGATGTAATTTATGAAGATATGATGTCTGATTTACTTTAGGGTGAGCTTTGTGATGTAATGACAGCTTGGAGAATGCAAGTAAGCTGTGCAGGGTACTGAAGGCTTGGAGGCTGCAGGTAGTTTGTGAGAAGTTTTGAGGCCTCAGGCATGCTGTTTGATGTTAGGAAGCCTTGTGTAAGCTGTATGATGTTAAAAGGCCTGGGGTAAGCTATGGTGTTGTAGGCCACAAGTAAGGCTTGTGATGTTATGAGGCCTCAGGTAAGCTGAGTGATTTTATAAGGACTTGTGTAAGCTGTGATGTTATAAGGCCTTTTGTAAGCTGTGTGATGTTATAAGGCCTTGTGTAAGCTGTTTGATGTTATAAGGCCTTGTGTAAGGTGTGTGATGTTATAAAGCCTTGTGAAAGTTGTGTGATGTTATAAAGCCTTGTGTAAGGTGTGTGATGTTATAAGACCTTGTGTAAGCTGTTTGATATTGTTAGGCCTTGTGCAAGTTGTGTGATGTTATAAAGCCTTGTGTAAGGTGTATGATGTTATGAGGCCTCCTGTAAGCTGAGTGATGTTATAAGGCCTTGTGTAAGGTGTGTGATGTTATGAGGCCTCCTGTAAGCTGAGTGATTTTATAAGGCCTCATGTAAGCTGTGTGAAAGATACATGTATATGTAAACTATGTGATTTAGGTTATGTTAGCCCCTATACTTCTGTAAGTGTTACTGTAGGGAACCCTGTGTGTGTGCACCCAGATTGAGAGGGTGTTGTATTGGATGTGCTACCCTATGCTGAAGCCCTGTGATATGTTGGGTGTCTTATAAACTGGTCTGTATTAAATATTAATATGTGCTCAGTACATAAAGTACTGCCAGTGCCCTACTAATTAAATTTGATTTTGAAAGACCAGTCATGTTCTTGTTGTGTTTTTAATCAAGTAATTCTAAAGACAGCATTTTGGAAACTAAAAGAAATTGCTATGAAAGGCCAGTTGCCAGTATACTGTAAAATTATTGATTTTCATAGGGGTTCTCTCCTTCCATGAATCCATTTTATTAGTTGACCTGGCCCAAAGGGCTATTGTCAACTTTTTTCTTCAAACAACTTCTTCTCATGAACAGAAAGGGCTAGAGGCATGATATTTGGTTGGGGGGGAGGGGGATGTTCCTAGGATGAAGTCTGACAAAGTATGAGGAAAGAAATAACATTGACCTTTGTTAAAGGTCTCAGGAGCCAAATTTGTTAACACATTTAAACAATTTATATCTCGTGAACTTAAAGGCCTAGTAGGAGGCAGGATATTTGGCTGGTATGTTCCTAGGATGAATCCTGACAAAGTTTTAAAAAAGAAATTACCTTAAACATGCATCAAGGTCACGGGTCATTAAAACATTCAAACAACTTCTTCTGACTAACCAAGAGGTGCAGAAGCATGGTGTTTGTGTGATAGGTTTCTAGGATGAAGTTCAACCATAGTCCATATTGAAGATCACAGGAGTCAAATTATTTTTAAATCTTTAAAAGATTTCTTCTGTTACACCAATAGTCTGAGAAGCATGATGTTTGGTGGAAAGGTGATTCCAGGTCATAGCCCAACAACTTTTGAGAAAAAAATATCTCGCATTTACTTAAAATCCAGGTCATAACTGTCACTGTTTAGAAGTAAGTATTTGAAGTTCTTTTTGATGCAGACCCATTGGGCCTCTTGTTTTTGTGGGCATACTCGCAATCCACTAATCCATTCAATTTTGTAGGAGTACTCTCAATCAGTGCAATCATATGTCCATGAACTGTTAAAATTGGTTTAAATAGCTTTATTGACAAAAATTCAGGTGTCCATGAAATAATTTTGTGAAAAACCACAAAAAATGCACCCCACAAAAATATATAATTCTATAGTACTATACAGAAGGCAACAAATATCCATGTACTAATGAAGGCACAGAATAATATGAACTAAATACATGTATAATAATATTTATTACTAAAGAACACATAACATGAGAACAACACAGTAAAAACATAAATAATCACACAAAGTATATTGCACATTTATGCAATGCAAGAAATTAAGTCAATGAACTGATGCTGGTGGTATTAGGGATGAAAAGTTAATGTCAGAAACATTATATTGGGACTTTGTGATGTTCAAAACTGCCATAGGAATGTCGTGTAACCAGTTAGTTACCCAGCCTCACTGCTGGAGAAAATTTCACTGTTTGAACATGTTGTTGCAGTGTGCAAGCTTGGTGTGCCAGTCACTGACAAAACAAAGAGACCAAGTAAACAGCGGCAGGAGGGTCAGGGTGACTGTCATCAGCAGTAGGGCGTTCATCAGGCTCTTGTTTGTGACGCTAGCCCCAGGCCTAGAGCAAATAAAACCGATTTCAAGTCACAAATATGTTATCGTCCAAACAGTTCTTCCGAGAAACTTTGGGACTGATGGGAAAAACAAAAAGGCTGACTGGAGTGGTCATCTTCAATTTTGACAAAGCAAATTTGTTAATGTGAAATTCTTAAGGATGATAAGATGGATCTTTCTCCAATTTTTAATATAGTTTCCCCTTGTTTTCTAGTTGTGCAAGTTTGATTTTGGGACTGGTCAGAAAAACAAAAGGGCTGACAAACGACCATCTTGGATTTGCAGTTAAATATCACTATTGCTATTTCTCATAATTATGAGCAAAATAGAGGAATGAGTAGAAAAGAAGGGAAAGAGATCTAAATTTCAGAGTACATATAAAGACCAAACAATGGTGGGCATACTAGGGAATATGGAACCTTAATGAAAATTACTGAAATCATTTAAGTATACAAAAGTATCTGCAAAGCTCACCTGCCAATATTGGTGAATCGGGCTATGCCAAGCCAGGCAATGATTATAAACACCCCGCCCATCTCTCTGTGATGGAAACAGAAAGCATGCGGTAAATCAAAGACATTAACATTTCAACAAAGAGAGACCTTAGCGATCATCTGACAATCAAACCATTCTATAAGTAATCATTACATTTCCCTTGACATGATTCAATCAAATTTGTTGATATTAATTCAAGTTATATCACTGATTATCTCCCTTCTTTGTAATGTAGTGGGTGGACTACCTAGTTTCAGACCAGTTATATCACTAATTATCTGCCCTCTTCATGTTGTAGTGGGTTGACTACCTTGTTTCAGACCAGTTATATCACTAATTACCTGCCCTCTTCATGTTGTAGTGGGTTGACTACCTTGTTTCAGACCAGTTATATCACTAATTACCTGCCCTCTTCATGTTGTAGTGTGTTGACTACCTTGTTTCAGACCAGTTATATCACTAATTACCTGCCCTCTTCATGTTGTAGTGTGTTTGTTACCTTGTTTCAGACCAGTTATATCACTAATTACTTGCCCTCTTCATGTTGTAGTGTGTTTGTTATCTTGTTTCAGACCAGTTATATCACTAATTACCTGCCCTCTTCATGTTGTAGTGGGTTGGCTACCTTGTGACCAACTGCCTCTAAAGTGATGACCACAGCATATACTGCATAAGCACAGGACAGTGTGAAGTCCACTACTGCTAGACTACCCCACACTGTAGTATCTACAACAGGCATACAGAATACAGACCTACAAAGACAACAGCAATGTTTCATGATAATATTTTATGCTAGTTCATGTTTTCAAAATGACTTCACCATTTTTTCACATTTACTACATTAAGTGTAATACTGTAAGTGTTTGACATTAATTCTTTATGTGGCAGGTGTCTGACATTTATTGTTCTAGGTCGCTTTAATTTGCTCAAAGGTCCAAATAAGTAATGCAATTGGTAATCCGATCAGTGTCTGCTATTCCAATGTCATTCAAGCCTTTAGAGACTTCATAAAAATTTGGTAGCAAGTGTTTGATGGGAAACAAGATTGTTAAATAAGGCTGTTATCATTATTATTATAACATTCATAACAGTCCATCAACACATAAAAACCTTTGGACAGCTAATAAATGGAAAGGCTAAAGGATTCTTTTTAACACACTGCAGTGTTTGAATTGAATAAGAAACCTACTTGAGTAACAACTTTAAACAAATTTCAGGTCTAGTGTAATGATATTTTGTCTAAAGCTTCCTTACTTTGCATAACAGCTATTGACATTATATCAACAAAGCTTTGGGCAATGACATGCTAGTAATATCAAATGATAACAAGAGATCCCAGTGGGATCTTGGCGCCCACCATTGTTTGATCTTTATCTGCTTTTTGAAAGTTGGATATTTCCCCTTCTTTTCTCTTCTCTGTTTTTGCTCCTAATGATAAGAAATTTGAACATTTCTTTGCAGAAATAGGGATGATAATCTTAACCTGCCAAATTCAAAATTTATCTTTGTGATCAGTCTCAAAATTGAATGGGCACAACTAGAGACCAAGGGAAACCTACGAGTGAAATTTGAGAGAGATCTGTTGAGTACTTTTGAAGAAATTGCGATAACAAACTTCATTGAAAAATTCCGAAGTGGCTGCCTGTCAGTCAAAAATCAAACAGGCACAACTAGGGACCAAGGGGAACTTATATATGAAATTTGAGAAATATCCATCAGTACTTCTAAAGAAATAACGACAATGAAAATTGTTTACAGATGGACAAGGGATCACTGATGTAGGGAAATTAGATGGTGGGCTAAAAGTTGTGATTTTGAATTGTAAATAAGTTTGCTTACTTGCAATACTTGGTTTGAATGCAGCAGTCAAACTGAGAAGTGCTGGTACAGTATAACCTGGCTGAAATTTTAATATCATTAAATTCATCATAAACAGAATGTATCAATGCAAGGAATGATAAGTAAAAAGATATTCAAAGGTCATTTTGAACATGCACAAACAGTTTTTGAACAGTTCTGAATTCCACCTCTTCATAAAACTTTATTAGTTTTTAAAATTGACAATTGCACATAATTTCATTTTACTTTTCAATAAAAAAGTGTACAAAATCAATCTTAATTACTTTGGTAGAAAATATCTACTTTTATTACAACATACTCACCACCCAAACATACCAATCATCATCATTCAACTGCAATGAAAGAAAGTTCTTTTCATATTTGAAAATACATTTATTTTAATCATTTAGTGAAAGTTACATTAAGTGGAGAGAACAAATGGCACCACTTCCTGCTGAACCATCATGGAATCATCAGACATTAACATTTAGGTAAGCTGATCACTAGTGAATCAGCCATAGAAGCAAACATATGTTACTCTTTTGAAGGAATGCCTTACAGAGAAAAACTTATTTGTTATTTTGCCCACAAAGTAACTCAAAAAGTGCAAAAAAGGATAGATTTACAATAAAATTTCATCATCAGTTTATTGGTGTCCATACAATGCATAATCAATCACAATATATGAGTAAATATAGCACATACGTTGACATAGGCTGCTAAACAGAAGAACACTGTCATGATGATGTTAATCAGTTGCCACACCAGGGTAGACGGAGGGTTGGGATTATCCTGCATTTTGTTGTACTGGATACGGAACTCGGACTGCATAACTACCTAAAATATGCAATAAGGTTATATTTTGTAAATCATTCTAAACACCATGAATCACCATTTTGAAAAAGATTGCATATAACTGATGCACATTGTTTGATGAATTCAATGTAGGTACATGAGCTTCACACTGTGACAGTCTGGAGATACCATCTGTAAAATATATACCTGTTCACTCATAATTTTTTAGTTCCAGAGACAGTGAAAGCAGAATCAAAGATATACATATCCCTCAACCATCTTGTTCTTGTTCCATAAGAGACAAACAAGCCTAGATATTGAGTCTGATAATGTTTCACCATGCCTTTTTTTTTCAAGAAATAGCGATCTTAAATGAATTTCAGTTACATTTTATGTTTGCCATTTTCTTTTTCCTGATCAGTCTTCAAGACAAGCATGCATGTGAGATTTTTAAAAGGTTCATCCAGTCCTACTCAAGTTTGAAAACAGTTGACACTTTCTAATGATGGTAGATTTAAAAAGGAATGTCATGACTTTGTTTATAACGCCACTTGCTACTGTGTCCCTAGTCATTAATTACAGCTAATATAAATAATTGGTGAACTAATTGTATACACCATACATATCTCGGAATAAGTATTGACAGCTGACTAATTCTATTCAGCCACGGCATCGTCATCATATGAATACATACACGTCTTGTCTGTGAATTGAAACATGTTTTGTCCCTGTATGGAAAGAGATTTCTTCGAGTAATCCCTGATGTGATACAGCACCCTCCCCTTTTCTGTTAAACTGAGACAGAGAGAACCTTGCCAAACAGCACGGGTTTGATCTATCATAATTATTCCAATACTAGTGACATTATGTCGACGGGACGCCACATATACTGATGGATGCGTTTTCATTCAATGATACTTGTATACTGGAAATGTGTCCATAAATACCTGAATTAATTGAGAACTCACAGCTGTTATGTCCGACAAAAACGTGGTATGTTTACAAGTAAGTGCGCATGCGCAAATATATGATAAAATACTGACCAGAAAACGGACTGTATATCAGGAATTATCGGTCGCTTGTCAACGGTTAAGCCCGTACGTAATTACTGAATTACGAACTGTTGGTAAAAAAGAAAGGAGGAAAATGCGTTTTTATGTATCGTGTGTGATGGATCCGAAGAAAATTATGAAAATGGCATGCCACCGGACAGGTGTAGATTTTTTGGATTAGAACCATCTCAGCAAGTGATTTAAGTTATTTAAGGATATACATGTACAACAAGTCTTGATTTCTATTTCATAATTGATTTCAGTTGATCAAAGACTTTATGTATTAATATAGTGGAAGGTGATCAACTTTATAACAATAAACTTATAAGTGTTTTCAGTCTGAAATTAATTTAGTATATGATAATTTTTAAGACATCTAATTTACCAACATGCTATTTAGTGTAGTAAATAGTGTCTAATAAAGAGAAAAATAGACAATTATAAAGCACGAGATTTTCATGAGACAGTCAAAATATCGGATCCTCTCGAATGTCCACCTGCTTGTTAAAGAAGGGTAAAGGAGTGAAATAAGATATCTAAATTTTGTAAATAAGATATCTTACCTAATAACTCAGATATACAATTTAATTTTCAATAAAAAGAAATCTGATTCATCAAATCACTTATCATATTTGGGAAGATCATCGGGAATGTAAAGTTAATTATTGATTTCATTCTGGATGTAACACCACATAGAATTAATTGGTAGGGTACATAGGTATATCACGATACATTTGTATGAAAATAAGTCATAACCTATATGTTATACTGTTGAAAAATAAGAAAATAGCTTGAATCTTTTAATAGGAACTGATATTGCAGATTTTGCACGTGGTCAGGTAATGGTATGCGCGGTGAAAATTTCCGGGACTAGTCCAAAGCATTGTGGTTATATGTCCGCGATTTTGTTTTTTGTTCCGTGGTCACGACAAAATATAAAAATTGCAGATTGAAGCCACTTCTCTTTGGATCAGACAGTGATGCACGCTTTTCTCCTTTCAAAGCTAAGCTACGCTAAGTAAGGTGTTGTCCAAATTGCTAAGGAAGTCGATTTTATGCACACGGTTTGTATGTTTTGGCACTAAGGCGAGTAAGACAATGGTTAAATGATGGTGAAATGAAAAGAGACATCAGAATGCTTCAAGGCAGTTTGCCGCTAAGTCAGGTTTCATCAGACTTCGCGGTGTAGTGTGGTGTCAAGAATGTGGAATCACTTTTCAAACTAATTGAAACCTTTCCAGTAAGTAGCTCAAAGGCCACAACGCAACGCCGAGAGCGATTTTTGCTCAGACTGCAGCTTAAGTCTTGGTGGAAATACCATGTCTTCCAAAATGGTGCCGTCACGGCCTGAATTTACAACGATGAAAATTTTAATACACATACCATAGTCTACGCTGGAGTTTTCGGTCCTAACTTCAATTCTTATAGATCACCATATTAGCAAGATACTATTCGACGAACGAATTGTCCAGCCCTCGCAGAGTCGAATCTTAGCGAACAGATGAAGAACATACTGCAGACAACACCCTCTGCAAGAAATGCTCAGCCGTTGAGACTCCGTTAGCTAAAACACCTTTGGTAACTGAGTGAAACGTTATTCCTTCAAACCTAATATGTAATCTCATTCGAGCCATGCGCATATGTTATTGATGCCCTTGGGCATTGCACCCGTTCAAAAAAGTAAATGGCTATTTTGGTGACATTACTTACTAGGATTGACCAAGATTGTAGAAGACGCTTACTCTTCCGGAGCAATTGGTCTTATTATCCTTGTACTTTTTCAGGAGTCTCTGTGTAAATATTTCTTTCGTTCATATTTTGCCTCTGTTTTATCAATTTGAGTTTGGGTAAAGATTTTACGATATGTTGATATTTTCTTTGTTTTCGTGCAATTTAGGATTGTTAGTAAGTAGCTCGTTGTTACCATGTTTAAGGGTAACCCTTTTCTGTGGCTCATTTTTTCGTTTATTGTTACGACTTTCGAAATTTTTGTATGGTGGTGAATTAAATGAACAATGTTTTAAAAAGTTTTAAATCAGGTGAAATATTAATGATCAAATATGTCAACAAATAAAAGTGAATGATATTCTAAGGTAAAATGTGATTAGCCTATATTGTATTTATACGTCATTTGTGTTTCCATGTTTTATATTCATTTACAAACACACCAACGATCTCGAGATGGGTAATTTGTTTTGTATACCGTTGGTTGAACTGTTTCCACCATCTCATGATTATAAGAGGCGACTAAATTGGGAATCATATTATCTTCTCCTATTCCTGAATAACTTACTTTACAATCCATTTCTTGGCAAAACAATGCGATTGATCGGAGATACATCTCTTCGCTTGCAAATGTGCATAGACTCCCATTACATCTCGTATCATATATACTCATTACATCTCGTATCATATATACTCATTACATCTCGTATCATATATACTCATTGCATCTCGTATTATATACACTCATTGCATCTCGTATAATACACTCATTACATCTCGTATAATATACTCATTACATCTCGTATAATATACTCATTACATCTCGTATCATATATACTCATTACATCTCGTATTATATACACTCATTACATCTCGTATCATATATACTCATTACATCTCGTATCATATACACTCATTACATCTCGTATCATATATACTCATTACATCTCGTATCATACACTCATTACATCTTGTATAATACACTCATTACATCACGTATAATATACTCATTACATCTCGTATCATATACACTCATTACATCTCGTATCATATACACTCATTACATCTCGTATCATATACACTCATTACATCTCGTATCATATACACTCATTACATCTCGAATCTCATTACATCTCGTATCATATATACTCATATATCGTATATATACTCATTACATCTCGTATAATATACTCATTATCGTATCATATACTCATTACATCTCGTATCATATATACTATTCGTATAATATACTCATTACATCTCGTATTACATCTCGTATATATATATACTCATATTACATCTCGTATAATATACTCATTACATCTCGTATCATATACACTCATTACATCTCGTATCATATATACTCATTACATCTCGTATAATATACTCATTACATCTCGTATAATATACTCATTACATCTCGTATCATATATACTCATTACATCTCGTATTATATACACTCATTACATCTCGTATAATACACTCATTACATCTCGTATTATATACACTCATTACATCTCGTATCATATATACTCATTACATCTCGTATAATATACTCATTACATCTCGTATAATATACTCATTACATCTCGTATCAAACACACTCATTACATCTCGTATCAAACACACTCATTACATCTCGTATCAAACACACTCATTACATCTCGTATCATACACAATCATTACAACACATATCATATACACTCATTACATCTCGTATCAAACACACTCATTACATCTCGTATCAAACACACTCATTACATCTCGTATCATACACAATCATTACAATTCATATCATATACACTCATTACATCTCGTATCAAACACACTCATTACATCTCGTATCAAACACACTCATTACATCTCGTATTATATACACTCATTGCATCTCGTATAATACACTCATTACATCTCGTATCAAACACACTCATTACATCTCGTATGTATGCACTCATTTCATCTCGTATCGTTATCAGTCAGTATATTTCATACCGTATACATACATTAAATTATTAAGTGTGTACAAGATGAACTCGAGACTGTCAAATGAGAGTGAAATAACTATTGCAAGGAAGTAAAATCACAAGTGACACGCCCAGTTATATGTAGTAACATACACAAACCAATTAATCGACGTTGTCTTAGTTTAATGAATGAAACAGTAAACAATATTTCTATAGCCTTAAATGGTGGCAAGCTCAAGCTCATGTTTTTGGTTAACATGTGTAAAATGTGGAGGATTCTCAGACACCATACACGTTCAATTAAATTAAACGTAAGAATTATGAACATTTTTTCAAGCTGGCAAGCATACTTTATACATTTTCAATATAAAAATCAGTTAACAAAGTCGGCTGTGACATTTTGTCGGTGACTATGCGCTGTCACCTTAAAATATAAACAGTTTATGTGAATATGAGAGAAAATGAACAAAAACAAACAAATAAACAAACAAACAAACAAATGAAAGAAAAGCTGTACCACGTGAGACTCTATTTGCATTATCACGACGACAAACGTAGTCTTTTGCACCAGGATAGGGATGAGTCCCATTATTCCACAATACCCTACATCATCACATGTTTAATTCAAACATGGATGCCCCGAGAGCATTCTCGATATTCCAGGAGTTACGACCACTTTCGCTCTCTGCACTCCTGGAACATGTCAGGACAAAATTGAAGGTTCCATCTGCGACACCTTGTGGACAAGATGAAAAGACTAGTTTGGTCCTTTGATGTACATCAAGCGAATCTCAATGTCGCATAACGGTATATTGTAATGGCTTTGAAGATGGGTGACGCTCCTTTGTAATCTTCAAAAGAAATTTATCAGCCTGTGAATGGTCAGTTTCCCCCCTGAAACCAATCGTTTGCCATGACATGTTCCAGGGGTGCAGAGATTGAAAGTGATCGTAACCACTGGAGTATGGAGGATGCCCTGTATTAAACAGGAAAACAAAGTACACCCAGAAACATGTTAGACAATAATAATGTGCCTCCAGACGAGGCTCAACCCCCTAATCCAAGATAAAATACGATTACGACAAGGAATAAATCGATAGTTAAAGTAAATATAATCACACGGCTATTTTGTGTATTCTAATGAACTCCTCCCGTGGTGATACCATTTTCTATTAATACATATTGTTACAAAGTTTTGGTCACAATAGATATGTTTGGAATGATATGTTAATTTTTAATCATGTAAAATTTCGTAATAGATAAAACAATTATGATTGTAATAATAAAATGCAATATTTGGACATTAAGATGCTAAAATACATTTGTTTGTCAATACATAAAATGAACAGAGGTATGGCGAGGATCATTAAACGAAAGTCAGTTAAAATAAACTAAAATCTGTTAACATGTCTAAAAAAAGGTTCGGTCGTTATAAAGAAAGCTTATATATGATCCGTTGATAATAATATGTAAAATCAATATTAGTCTAACCAGAAACAAATATAACTAGGAATCGGATTGTAACACTGATTCTGCTGTGTCATACTCCATATTCACATCATCATTATTCTTCTTATCTTTGAATGTGTCATAATTGCCTAAACCATTTATAGCGGAAGTGACGTCATACATAAAATCTCCAATATCGTCTTTATTCAAATCCTCTTGAGATTGTAAAACATTGTAATTGTCTTCCTCTGTTTCTGCAGGTATGTGGTCATATGTACTGTCTATTTCTCTTTGTGGCCGCTTAGAGGTCCTTAGCAAATCGTAATGTTCACTGTCCCGTTCTGTTTCAGGAGCATTGTCATCAACTTCCGGTGTATCGCATAGCGCGAAACTTTGGATTCTATCGTAATCGCCACTTCTGGTATTTTTGGTGTCTGTAAGTTCTGTAACCTTATCGTACTCGGGTTGGAATTTAACGTAGTCGTAACTGCCTCTGTGCTCGTGGATCGACTGCTCCATTAGGGGTTTCGCTGGTTCCTCTATATTCTGAGAGTTCGATTTGGGGCTTGACCGACCATGATTTATTTTCCTAAAATATTTCAAATGAAAGAATGCATATATACTGTCATGACATATATAACAGCACGTGCCGTTATGTTAAAGAAGAATGTCGCGTGCAAATACATCAAACACAATAACTCTCAATAAATATCACTTTTCTCGGGTGTATAAATCATTGTGTTAACGTAATGTAAATTCATCAATTGTGTAATGCCCATTTAAAGTTGTGTACTTACCTTCTTCGACATACTAATAAGACGAGTATGATTGTAAACATGACTACTACCACTGCAGCGATAGCCACCAGGATGTACACTGAAATCACATAACACATGTACATTACGATAGCGAATTTTGGTATAGAGGAACTTTTTCAATAAAGTAGACTGTTTTTACATCAATATTGACTATTTTGATGAAAACGTGGTACAGCGAAGTTTATATTTTCATATGGTAGTTGACTTAACCTAAATTGTTAAATTGGGGTTTCTACTTTCTAAAACAGAAATGATAATCTGTACGAAAAATACTTTGCCCGAAAAAAATGAACAACAAAGATAACAAACCAATACCACTATTATATGAGTCTTTAGTTGTGAATTTGCGTGTAGACTTACCTAGCATTCCGTCGCTACTATTGTCCTCGTTTTGGGGTACACCAATTGCAGGTGAGAATGAAGAGTTTTCTTTCATGGTAGGAGTAGGCCAAGGTGGCTGTGATGGCGCCACACGAGGACTTGTAGATGGAGTAGGTATATTTGACGAATCCTGCCTCGGTATGTTGTCACCTTCAACGATATCAACAAAGACATTTACATTTATTACTGCACGCATGATTTTTTAAAAGCTCTGTGCTGTTGTTTATCGTAAAACATTACTTTGCTTTTTCGATGAACTACACTTTATTCCTTTTATAACTGTCATGACTAACCATTTTTTCTGTTGTGCCTTCGTTTCAATTTTTGAAATTTTCATTTTCCTGTATTCATACGTCACCCATATTGTTGTTTTTATAGGAAAAATAAAACATTCAACACACTTTGTGTATTCCAGCACAATCCTGAAAGCTGTTTTGTGCAATTTTCAGAAGAGAAAGAACACTTCACGCTATCACACGTCAGCGATACACAACGGGTGGTCACATCAGGAACTTCTTCTGTAAGTATAGACGTGAATTGTCAGAGTGATTATTGGAAAACTTCCGCAACATTTACAAAGAACAGAAAACGTTGGTGAGATACCTACATTCGTATCTATTTGCAAACGCTGCTAACAAACGTAAAATGTGCTTATCGCTGAAAAGTTATAGAATTATAAAAAAATCAAAACGTAATTTTTGGCCTAGATATATATTACCGTCTGTCCATTTGATAAACCGGTGCTTGATGAAGTTAATCCAGGGTTCTTTGTTGGCCGGAAACGTTTCAGATATCGAAGCTGTAGTAAGCCGGGACTTACTGTCCTGACACCATTTGTTGGCTTCCAGCCAAGACATGGTCCTTGTAGAATTCATATCATCTTCATAAAATATAGAAAACCGATTTGAACGTTTTATATAGTGCTGTGAGGTCGCCAAATCTCGAGCAAATGTAAAAAACATTTGTCTCCGAAATTCCGAAGTTAATTAATCTTTGTTAACGACTGTCGTAGAGCTAATGGAATGAAATCTTCTGTATCAATTGCGACTACTGTATAAATGTGAAATGTGCTTAAATTGTTCTGTGCTGTGTGGTAGGAAGTCAGATATGTTCGATACTTGTGAGTATGCTTGTAGTTTCCTTACTCCGAGCAATAAAGAATTAAACTGAATTTTGTAAATTAGATTCCCATTTTAGAGCGTAAACTTTAGTTACTCAGATCGACAAGAATTAGCATGGCGGTTGTTTTTGATAAAACAGAAAATGCTCACTATACCAGGACATCTGGTCTTATTCTTTCTGGAATTTTTCATAGTTCTATGCGTACATCTGTCTTTTATTCGTTTTTGTTCGAATCACTGTTTTTCTACACTATTTTTCCGTGAAAAATTGTATAGTTTGTTGATTTACTTCTGGACACAATTATATGCAAATCCTAGACGTGGCATTTGTTAACTTACTTTTACAAGCTGCCACTCGCTGATCCTGGCAGCTTATAAATCTGTTATTCCATATTCCACATACAGGTGTAAACGACAGGCGACCGCTTTTCTGTGTGCTGAGAACTACAATAAAACCAATAAACGAATATTGTATTGGTTATTCCTTTTCAAATATTTATCGTATTCTAACCACCGTACAGAAAGCTACTGTCACAGTCGCTTTGGTTTGACTTGCTCAAGAATTGAAATATAGATTGGTAGATAACGGAGGAGTAATACAACCATTTGACCCCCTTTTTATGTTAAATTGATCGTTATCACAAGCTGTAGAGAATAAGCAACGTTGACGTCTGTACCTTAATTGTTATTAATCAGTGTTAGGAGTCACCAGCTTCATTCCAGAGCGTGTACAATATAGACACACAACGGAACAACACGTTGTATGAATATAGTAAGAAATTAATTTATATCAAGTAACTAATGTTCTAGACCTCTGATGCTCGGAAAGAAAAGGCGAAAAAAATCAACCTAATTGGATGTGCAATGACCTCAAAATTAAATAAATTGTTCCTTAGCCTGATAGGAACTCACCAGCAGAGAAATCCTCAAAGCTTCGTTTCACGACTGACTTTTTTATTTTGTGAAAGAATTCTTAGATTAACAAATTCCTTGCTCAATCACTCTGCTTTTTAACTAAGCGATTTTAATGGAACCCTTATATGAACTTAACATCAGTGAATATAATTAATATAATACTGTGAGTAGTTTTCAGCTACTGCTGTCTGTCGCGTTTCCCACAAAATATGCTGCTCAGATTCGTACTGTTCTTCTCGCGAACGTCGAATGCTTGGTAGTATAAATTCTTTAAGCTTAAGAAAAAAACATTACGTGCTACATTTTTTTCTGTTGTGGTTAAACTTTCCTTAACCTATGGAAGATTCATGGAACTTGTGCATCTAAAGCTGAGTCTTGGACACTTCTATATTGTTGTGGTGATGTCTTTGGATAAAATCTTACCTCAAGGTTGTTCTGGGTAATTGTAAATATACTATGTGTAATAGAAGCCAATTAAGGCTTAATCCAGAAAAAAATTCATGAAGTATCATTAAGTAAGTGTAACATGTACCTAACTGTTCAGTGATGTACCCAACTACACCTACATCTTCTACAAGGAAATTCCGTCTCAAACTGACCCCGGCAGAGTTCACTGGGCTATAAACCAAATCAACACACTAACACTTACCCGAGGTAAACTCGTATGTAGACATTGCCTGTTGACCGCCACAAGTTACATCTGAGTCGGCAGAACAGGGAATTTTACAGGCAGACTCATTTGATAATTGTCTGTTACGAGTTGTACAATAGCAAGTATCATTCTGTAAATAGAATACCAAGTTGCTGCTTATCAACAAAATCGTGATTTTAATTCATAAATATTTCAAGAACGGTCTACAGCCTATAATTCATAGATACATGCGTATACACAATAAATAGGATTGAACCAGACGTTAATACTATGTTAAAAGGATAATGGTTGTTACATATGCGAAGAAGCAAACAAATGATGGATTGCTGTCATGGAGATATAGAGGTTTACTACAAAAATATAAAGACCACAATGGAACTGATCGGCACATTTATCTTATCTGATCAGTGTTCATCGTCACTTCTAAAGACAGAATTAACCCACAATTTATGAAAACTTGTACAAATTTCTTAAACAAGTGCAATACCGTGTGATTAGTCCAAATTTGTGAAATATTTATACTAGTGATAAGTTACAACTTACGTGAAGCCCAATGGTATCCCTTGTGTTGTCATTTTGGTATTCATTATTACATTCCTCTATACAGTCTTTCAATGTCATATTTATAGGGGTAAAAACTCGAATAGCTTGATCCGGAAGTTGCTTGCATCCTTCGAAAATACCATTTTAGAATTACTTATGTGCAACGTGACGATATAGACACAACGGTGTTTAGAACTAAGAGGCAGTGATTCTTATCAAATTGTGCAAGGGATTTAACCGCAAATGTTTGTTTTCGCCAGAAACTTAAATTGATGAAGAACTAAATTAATAGAAATAGGTATTGACTGCTGTATATTTTCATGTACAAGTCTGCTATTTCACCTTTACTTTAACATGGAACACCACAACATATGCACTGTAAACCACACTAAACACATTTTTGCACCTAGTTGATCTACTCACGTTAACGCTTGCAACAGTTACACCGAGGATACTTACTTATGCTTTACAGGAAGAAATTATATAAGCATATAATATATTTGTCAAACATACTGCATTTATATTCACGTTTAAATTCAATCTGACAAGTTGTTCTATACTTAAACAGACTTGTTGATCTCCACAAAAGTGATTGAAGCTAGAAAATATTTAATTTTATGTGTTAAGACAACAGGAAAATTATACCATATCATTGAATGGATGATGTATAATAATACATTGAAATAAAAATCGTTTATGCTAAGTTAGAAGAGTAGATAAAAATTAAGTGTACACAACATATATATTTTTCAAATGAATTTCAAGACATGTTCAATGAACTTTGACATTCCTGATTTTTTCACACCTTTATATGAAATTATTGTAGTTGCATAAACGTAAGCCCCTATCCAAAACGTTTCGAACAACGGTATGCCGAGTCCACTCTTTAGGTTACAAGTATCGTCCGAAACATCGTCACATAAGATACTGGAGTTAATGAGTTGACAAGACGCTCTGGTAGTTTCCCAACTTCCAGATCCAGACTTGACTATCAGGCACCGAACTAATTCTCCTAACAAATAAATAAATAAATAAATAAATAAATAAATGACACCTACCTATATGATTTAATCAAATAGAAGAAAACATAGATCAGGTAACATGTATCTTTTATTTCATTTGTCTCTTTATTTCATTTCAGAATATTTCATTTTCATGGTTTTGCTATCACAAGGAATTGAGCAACAGGCATAGCACATGGAAGGCCTATCCCTTTTCTCTTTTCCCTATGAATGCAATATGAATTTATCTATAACAAATCGCAGTATTTCCATCATTTTTGTCTTCCTTTCACCACAGACTGCAACAGGATGGGCAACTTAAAGGCTTAGAAAATTACACAGTTTTGAACAAAGATTTATGTATTTATGCGTGTTATCAGCACGTGTTATCCCCCTTAGAGGACCAAATGTATAGTAAAACTTGTGTAAAATGTGAAAGTAGAACAAACAATATGGGATAGGCATACAACCCTCATATAAATGAGATGTAGGAACTATAAGTGTTTTATTGTTCTATTTTACAACCGTGTTCGTTTCACCATTACCGACAAAATTTACCTGTAAATATTCTCAAATAGCAATTCGTTCTTAAACAATAACGTAAAAAATGTGCATGTGCAGTAAATATGACCAAGTACATTATCACTGCAACACAAGTAGCAGCATGCCGCTTTACTTACCTGAAGATATCAGTATGAGGAGACAGTAAACACCAGATATCGCCATGTTTTCCTGAAGAACCAACTGGGAGCGGTGTTAATCCCGTACCTCCTCAAACAAAGACCCTATAGTAAATCGAATGACTCTGATTTTCCGATAGTTCATAAAAGTCCTAAGTAGGTCAACGCATATCATATAACACTGCTGTATTTTCTTCCTGGTAAACACAACAAATAGAGTTACCCGCCCGTATACAAGCCTTCTGCTCATATGGTTGGGATACTTTTGTAACGGACGACAAATGCCTCCGGTCAATTCATCTACCGTAGGGATTTAATTTACATTCTATATGATAAAGGCTTTTGTCTAATAAAACACGAAATAAATGACATTTTCAAATGCTAGTCTGCAAAAAATATAGCACAGATTTTCCTTTGACAAAAAAGCTGGGTATAACATTGATTTAACTGGAATAAGCTTAATTTCGAATTGTTTTGATTTTTTTTTCATGAGGAGATATTACTTATGACAGATTTAAAGCGTTTTCTCTATAGTGTAATTTACATCTCGAAATCTTGTCGTTTCTTTTCGAAGTGAATGGTCCTCGTTTCTGAATAAGGACCTTTCACGATTGTGACCTCAATACATATTATCAGTTATCTGACATTTTATATTAAATTTCACGATATGTCAGTTATGTGTGCAAGTATGTTTTTGAGCGCAACACTGCAATGCACGAGCTTTCCTGATGTAAATAGATGATCAGTCTATGAGGATTTGCTCTGTAAATATATATTAAACTTAATACATAAAGGAAAGGTCATAGCTCGATAGAACAACGCTACCTTAGTAACTAATTTTCATTAAGTTCCATCGATTTCCAAAATAGTGTATTATTTGCAAACGAAAGTACAAATGTATAGCTTATCATTGAAAAAAATACAATATTATAAGGATAAGATATGCGTGATTGTAGCAGTGAATGGACTTAGTTTAACTAGCATTCATATACCGGACCTGTACATGAAAATTATGGCTTACAAACGAATGTTTGTACAGCATACTTGATTATTTCTCCATCAAGTATTGCTCACGTTTGAAGAGAGATTGAAAATATCAACACTTTCTTGTTGCTTAATTCAGCGTGTATTTTGAACCAACACAGATTAATGGGACACATTTTATGTGGCGTTTTGTACTGTTTATCACAACAACAAAATAGACCTGTAAACGATCTGTAAGTTTAGCTCAGAAATAGATCAAATTATTAAAGCAAAATATCAACGAGGAAATGATTGAACGTCGGTCAGACTGTATTTATTGTCACTGTGAATGCAGTATTGGTGACTAATAAGGACGTCATAATTATTTATCTGGCATCAAGATTGCATTCACAAGGACAATTAAAATACAATCTGACATACTTTCAATAGTTATATTTATATGTCGGATGTTATTTAAAACATTATTAATTTGTTTTTCCCAGTGTATGGGCACATAAAAGAAACTTTCTGAACACCATAATCAGCTAAATGACTAACGTAAACTATAATGCGTGTTATTATCGGAGGCGACGTGCATGGCGTTGACGTAACGTTGGTCAACATGGCACCGAGATGATATTATTGTTTTGTGATCCAGTGAATACAATCTAGATCAATGAGATGTCAATCACGCAAAATGTAGATGTAAGGAGAACACAGTATGGATATTAATATATTGCCCTGGAAGGATGTAAAAACAGTGAGTATTTGTAAAACCTCCCAATGCCTTTAATGGTTACTGGGTTTCATTTTTGATGTTTCATGTCACGTATACGACTTATTACAGTTATGGCAAATAGAATAAAAACCATCTCGACTTCACTCAATTGAAACGAGAGCCTTCTTTTGGCATCAAATAGACATTCATTAACATTTATTTGTCTCTGTTGGTTATTATTGGTAATTATGTCGTCTTTAAACAAAGAGTTTTTTATGAGATAATATTGCTTCGTTCTATAGCAAAAATTGTAGACTGCTTACCATTATATAAATAATACCTTCTTAAAAATTCTGTGTTCATAAGGAGTTAATTTTGTCTTCATGTATACAAGTGACCTAAACAATCTCAAACGCATAAATAATTGCCATTCTTGACAAAGAAAGCTTGAACATGAATCATGTTCTGAATAATCATGAGATATCAAAGAATAACAGACATATTTAAAACGTATCAAATGTATTTAATTTCTTAAACAATATGCATTAGGTAGCCATTACGCCCATTAAACTTTATTATGTTGGTACATTTCCAAAACAAATTATAACATCAAATCAATATAAATGCAGGTAAAGGAGTGGTCTTAAGGATGTACATATAAATATATATAAATCAGAACTTACTTATATACATATATTAATCTAAAAACTCCATTCAGAAAATAGATGTTAAGTTAAGTGATGTTTAACCATTTACAACTCACGTATTCACTCAATGTTCGGTTTGGATGTACACCATCCATTACACTGTGGATACACACGACTAATTTAACTGCAAGTTGAATAGCAATAAGTATTAAATATATGCCCGGTTGTATTATCAAAGCACACAGAATATATATCACCATGGAGCAACCTTTATGCCAGGGAATCTAATTTCACCAAGGTAACCATAGGTAACCATAAGTAATCTGATGACAGGACAATAGATGACTGCACAAAACGCACCTTTCAATAGAAATTCAGAATTTTATATACAGTAGGAAGCCAAATAATTAACGAAACTGTTAATGTTTATGCTTCAAGGATTCGTCAGTGATACAGCAGATCTTAAGTGTTAAGGCGACTTAGAAATTTGAAACGGCCAAAACAGATAATAAAATATAAATGGGGAGACGCCTATTATCAATTCCTTAAGTTTCATAATTGAAAGAAAAAGGTACATATGTATGAATCAAAACGTGGCATGTATGCTACATACATCAAATAACTTCTAACTTAAACTTGATCTACCACTGTATTAATGGTGTAAGATCGAGTTGCAGTACTCAGCCTAATTACTCCTTATAATAAACTTTAATTTCCTATAAAATAAACTCACACTGCTAATCCAATATCAAAACTACAACGAATACACACAAATATGTTTTGCTACAGATAAAAACTATAAACAACAATCTACCAGTATACATATAAATATGTATGAATATCACACAGACACCAACAATTCGTGTCGAGGTATATTTTTCAAATGTTCATTGCGGATATTTTTTATTTAGATTTTGCTATCGTTGCACATCGCATTGGCGTATTTAAGCTTTACTGAGCATTGGTTTTCCACCTTAGTCACGTTACCACAAAATTCAATGCATTGTGTTCATTTTCATCATATTTGTATGATATCTGGATTATTTATATACAATCAGTTTGTAAACGAGCATTTGTCACATTCTTCTACGTAAAAATGCTTTATAATATATATGACGTTACATTAATTCATTATATCTTTGTACCATGCGTACAGATGTATGTCTTAATCTTCTGGAATGTATTTAGCTTTACTTAAGTTGTCAGCCACAAACAATGTGACAGTTTGCTGACACAGGTTCCGTCTTGCCTAAATTGTTCTCAGAGTTATTCTGCTGTTCTGCTGGCACCCGGTTAGGTTGTCTCAAGATTGTTATGATGATCAATCATTCGTTACTGGCTTCATGTTCACAAAACGAGTCCATCGATATATGCATTGTTACCACATCCAGATTATAAGGTAACCCGGAATGTTCGGGAGCATTGCCGCATGGAGTTAAAGTAATATTCTTTCACTGGTATATGCAGGTGACTTGACGCTGTCTACCACAGCTCAGAGAAGCACATGCCATCTCCCGTATGTCTCGGTTGTTCATCTACATCAATTATAACGTGTGATATAAGAAACTCACTATAATAAGAACAGCTAAAGTTATAATATATACTACAGCTTTAATAGTCTTTTAAGATCAGTAATAAATGTGAACTTATCATGGTGTGTGACTTATATGAAGGAGATTACTTGATACTACATGATGGAGATGACTTACAAATACAGGACGGATGTGACTTACCACTAGATAATGGAGGTAACCTATCACTATAGGATGGATGTGACTTGCCACTAGATAATGGCGGTAACCTATAACTACAGGATCGATGTGACTTACCACTAGATAATGGAGGTAACCAAACACTATAGGATGGATGTGACTTACCACTAGATAATGGCGGTAACCTATAACTACAGGATCGATGTGACTTACCACTAGATAATGGAGGTAACCAAACACTACAGGATGGATGTGACTTACCACTAGATAATGGAGGTAACCTATCACTATAGGATGGATGTGATTTACCACTAGATAATGGAGGTAACCAAACACTACAGGATGGATGTGACTTACCACTAGATAATGGAGGTAACCTATCACTATAGGATGGATGTGACTTACCACTAGATAATTGCGGTAACCTATAACTACAGGATCGATGTGACTTACCACTAGATAATGGAGGTAACCTATCACTATAGGATGGATGTGACTTACCACTAGATAATTGCGGTAACCTATAACTACAGGATCGATGTGACTTACCACTAGATAATGGAGGTAACCAAACACTACAGGATGGATGTGACTTATCACTAGATAATGGAGGTAACCTATCACTATAGGATGGATGTGATTTACCACTAGATAATGGAGGTAACCAAACACTACAGGATGGATGTGACTTACCACTAGATAATGGAGGTAACCAAACACTACAGGATGGATGTGACTTACCACTAGATAATGGAGGTAACCTATCACTATAGGATGGATGTGATTTACCACTAGATAATGGAGGTAACCAAACACTACAGGATGGATGTGACTTACCACTAGATAATGGAGGTAACCTATCACTATAGGATGGATGTGACTTACCACTAGATAATTGCGGTAACCTATAACTACAGGATCGATGTGACTTACCACTAGATAATGGAGGTAACCTATCACTATAGGATGGATGTGACTTACCACTAGATAATTGCGGTAACCTATAACTACAGGATCGATGTGACTTACCACTAGATAATGGAGGTAACCAAACACTACAGGATGGATGTGACTTATCACTAGATAATGGAGGTAACCTATCACTATAGGATGGATGTGACTTACCACTAGATAATGGAGGTAACCAAACACTACAGGATGGATGTGACTTACCACTAGATAATGGAGGTAACCTATCACTATAGGATGGATGTGACTTACCACTAGATAATTGCGGTAACCTATAACTACAGGATCGATGTGACTTACCACTAGATAATGGAGGTAACTAAACACTACAGGATGGATGTGACTTACCACTAGATAATGGAGGTAACCTATAACTACAGGATCGATGTGACTTACCAATAGATAATGGAGGTAACCTTTCACTATAGGATTGATGTGACTTACCACTTGATAATGGAGGTGACCTATCACTACAGGATGGATGTGACTTACCACTAGATGATGGCGGTGACTTTCTACTTAATGAAGGAGGTGACTCACAACTACTTGAAAGAGGCGAGTTACCTCAAGATTATGATGGCCTACTTCTATATGATGGGGTGACTTACCACTAGATGGTGGTTACACAGGGACCTGTCGTACGGAGTTCGACATCCAGTTTCTCTTTCAGTGGTTACGTCTGTGCCCTCAGCATTCCAGTCGTACACTATGTTGTAGATAGGTCGGTCCTATAACCAACATTACACAAACATTTGTCACGCTAGTTTTAACTGAATGTTTACAAACCTGATGGAGAGACTGCTTCCGTGAATTGCACATTACCTGTGTTCAATCATTTTAAAACTTTCAAATGCTTTCTGAACCGTGTAATTTTACTTTCTTTTCGAATTTACACGTAAAGACAGGTTTTCGGAAGGTAAGCGTTTACACGTTTCAAATAATTTAAAGCAGAGAAACCATGACGATAAAACAATGTCCATTACGATATTTAATTTGCTCACTGATATCGTATACATAAACGTTCTTTTCAGTACATTCTAAACCACCCTGTATATTGCATGTGATTGTCAACAGGATGTGTAACTGGAGATCACACAGATGTTTGGCTCCTAGGCATTCTCAACAAAATCGTATAAGTTGATGTATCACGTACACCTACAAGCCAGCATGATATCAGGTCGATTAGACAAAATTTCACTCGGCAACCTTTAAATTACTCCAAACAAATTCCTAATTCGGTTTGAAATCACAACCACTATGATACATAACTTTGATCATGTGTTATAGCGCTGTGATATTTTGTCTCTGTTTTTGTTTTATTTATTTAATTTTAGGATCAGATGATATCTAGTCTACTAACACATCAATAAATAACACAATCGTTTGAAGAGTGTACCTACAACAAGAGCAGACACAGATGTTAAGCTCCCAGGTAGTGATGGTAAAATCTTAATCTAGTGCGCCATACATACATCTAACACAAATCTATTAATTCTAGCACGACCAAAGTCGTGGAAACCTTCATTATCCTTTAACTTAATTCACAAAGTATCCGTTTGGTGAAAAACGAAACAAAACAAAACAAAAACCGAGAAAATCTAGGTCACTCAGCATTTTAATCCGAGTTCCTAATGTAACAATTTGCTTTTCTTCCAATATTTCATGATACTAAAACATTTTTCCTGTTATCATCTGGAGGATATTTTCTTGCACCAGGAACCTCATGATTAAACAGTGTTAAATAGCAATTAACATATAAACGGCTCTCAAGGTATATTTTATATGTTAGTAGGTACTCAACGTACAGGTTAACTATACTGACTCACAGTATACCTTACCATGCCTATCTTTCCGAAGTTAGTGAAACAGAAGGCTGGTCCTGGGTACTCTATGTCGCAGCGAATAACATATTTGGCCCACTTCTCCAGTCTCTTACTCCATTGCTGGTGAAATCGATTGGAGACAGAATTATAACATTATTGTCGATTCCTTCTAAACGTTGCTCAGTATTTCCTATAATTACATTTAGTGGTAAATAGACCACACTAGTTAACTATTTACTGAAATTATTGTGAGGATATATCTTTGGGACATTACAATATAATTAAAAATAACGTTGCTATGAAACATGATTCATGTCTTCATTGTCATGGTAATACGAAAGATATATATATCATTCATAATTACAGGAAATAAATAGACGGTTCAGCTTCTAGACTATTTTTTTGCATGATAAATCGTGCAACAGTGAATAAGCCATTGTGTACTGATTTAAGTGATTATTTATTTACTTATTTGTTTATTTATTTATTATTTACCAGTTTAGATATCCCCGATGTCCGAATGTTGTTGTGTATCTGTAGAAGGTAGTACTGGTCATTGTCAGACAATTCACCTATAACACATACTTGTATAATAACATTGTATTCTACCACTGTAGGTATTTCTACAGAATCACGTTGTCAGTCAAAAAATATTACAAAAATTTCCTGTTTCATGACAAAATGATACATATTAATTGCATATATTTGCAGAAAATAACTCTTCATACAAAATTCTAAACGCTATCACCTGTATATTGTTTTATAAATGAATGACGGTGTTTAAAAAGTGTAAGGAAGGGAGGTAAATCTTGTTTAAAATAATGAAGGGAGGGGGAGTAACTTGTATGAGCTTACAAAAAAAAATAGTTGAATTGTAGTCTGTAAGTAATTATGATATAAACATGTACCGTTGATGAAATAATATCAAAATAAAGCACAACGTTCATATGTTATGTAACTAACACGAAAAACAAGCCATGCTGTTGGTAGGCAATAATGAAAAGCTATGCATGCAATATGAATAAAGCAACACCCACAACATGCTTCGAGTGGTTATGTAGACATGCCAAAGCGGATAAAAACTAAGCCAAGCGTATCACAAAGTAAATAGGTAAGCATTCTATCTACAGCTATACTATGTAAACCTCCTTACCTCACGACATTGGCATCCCTCCCTACTGCCAATTGTTGTCTGCCTTATAATTTGACGCACGTTTTAATCAATTAATGTTTGTTTCTTGTTATGTGTACTTGTGGATCTTTCAGATTTAGGCTGTATCCCACATGAATGGTGAGTTACATCACCAACACAATGAGTCATTTTGTACAGTAGATTTATCACAAATTATCTATTGAAACATTTGTTATATATATATATATAAAATCAGCGGTAGCTGTTCTCCAAACCAGCTTCAAAGAGCAGTGTTTTAAAATGATTTATTACGAATAATACAACTGTCGCGTCATTATTCATTTTAATGAACTGATTTTAAGTGAAGTATATCAGAACCACCCACGGAGTTTTGTTTTGTTTTTTGTTTAGTTTTGTTGTTTTTTTTCTTTTTCCTTTTTTCTTTCTTGTTTTTCTTTTGTTTATAAAATTATGGACTTCAATAAAAATTGGATAATGAACTTAAATGTTATTATTTTGTGTGCTATTTTTTACATTTATTTTTTTATTCCTTGCCTTTCTCGTTGAGTTCTTGTTGTCGTTCTCTTTGCAGACGTTGTGCTGTCAATGCTAGATGCTGTTTTCGGATTTCCAGAATTTTTGCATGCAGTTCACGTTCTAAATTACGCAGTCGTCTCTCCTCTGCATACGGATCAAATGGTGTGATGTTGTTGGTCACCTCATTGTCATTCTCGGATAAAATTTCTGTCGTATCTTCCGTCAACGAATCATTACCGTTCTCTGATAGAGTTTCTGTGTTATCCTCAATAAAGAATCCTTTTTCGTTCTCATTTAGGATTTCTGTCACATCCTGCATTAATTCCTCACCGCCATCCTCTGTTGTATCCTCACTACCATCCTCCGTTGTATCCTCACTACCATCCTCCGTCAAATCTTCAGTAATATTTACAGCCACTAAACTCAATACGTCGTCGCCGACTACTTCAGTCATAACAGCTAGAAAATAAGCTTCCCTATTATAGGTTTTGTAAAGACGTCTTAATGCGTGATCAAAGAACAAGCAGAAACTTTTTAAAACAATGGTAAGTATACATTTACCAGTAGGTGCTCTTGTTAAACTACAGAATATGTGTATACACCTTCTAAAGTACCAAAAACTTTTTATACAAGACAAACTATGTTATAACAGCAGAGATATTGACAACACACCACATGCAAACAAAATCAAAAGGAACTTGTGAAGCTTTACACAAGCTCTATACTGAAACAATAGACTAGAATTGCCTTACTACCTCCCGATCTATTGATTAGATTATCTGAATGAAAAAAAGAGAAATGTTTGTTGATGGTTAATAACAAATGTTGTACTACACATATTTATAGTACTTTTTTTTTAATTTTGATATTACATGATTTATCTTTCAACAAATACCTTTAACAGTTAAACATTACCAAATCAGCTCCGATTTTTTAAAGATTTTCCCCCATTTCTGACTACGTATATTTTTATCTCAAATATTGTGTTTAAATGTGATAAAGCAATACATGTGATAACAAGACAGACACGCACATGTGAAGCAACAACACAAACAATCGACTATACTACATCTGTGTACGTACGGTAGACGCCCATCACTACATGCTGGCTAATCTATATACTAGCGCTGTGTTATATCTAAAGTCTGAATAGTATTATTATCCACGGTGTATAGCTGTTTACATCAACAACTTGCCTCCACTTCGAAGTTCTATCGGACCCTGACCCTGTCCTTGTCGTCGCCGCAAATCTTCATTTTGTTGTCGTCGCTTTCGCTCCTCCTCCTGTCGACGTCGTTCCTGCTCTTGTCGTTCCCGCCTCCGTTCATACTGTCGCCGTCGTTCCTCTTCCCGCTGACGTTGTCGACGTCGTCTGCGCTCGGCGGCGTACGGGTCGTAACTACTGTAGCGGGTAGCCTGACGCCTAACTGTTATGGACCGAGTGTTATTATCACAAACAACAAATAATATACATATTATATTTAACAGGCATGCCATTAATTGTTAACAATTAACAAAAAATCATAATCACACTTCACTCTAAACGTTTGGCACGGCCCTTCGTCAGCATAGTTAGAATTACATGATCACCGATGAAGGGTTTGACTGACAAGTTTAGAACATGAGTGACTAGTTTTAGTATTAATATTATCACGATTCCTGCAGGAACAATGTTTGTAAACAAAATATATATCATTCGCAATTATTCGTAATCGTTGTTATCATGCATGCTAGAAAATACTTCAATTAAGGTTAGAAACATGGACAATAACAATAGGTCGTGACGTCAGAAAACGTATACAGCTCATGCCGTTCTAAATTACTCAACATTAGTCGTCATTGTATTATATTGTATTATGTTAAGAGCAATAAAATTTCACAAACAGATTATTATCATGTCACATCTATCATTTGCATATCTCAACGCACGGAACATACAAAGTGTTCATATCACATACCCCTTGATGACCTCAGTTCCTGTAACCTGTCTCTACGAGAAATGCTGGACAGCCCGGATGTAGGACCTCGGTAGGTACGTGTTTCTGTCCTGCCTCTCCTCAGCTCCGCCTTGTCCCCAAGGCTCTCATCAACGGGTCGGTCAGCGATGGTTTGAGATACAAGATTATCAACCTTATTCTCTTCCAGCGTGTCGGGTTTTTGAGATATCGGCCCACTTTCTTTGATGACGTGGTTCATTGTCGACGTTCTGCTATTGTCGTACTCATCACCAAATTCTATCACCAAGTTAGGCAACGGTATTATCGGGGCTGAAACGAATAGATGAATTGACATGCGTGCTACCGAATATGGTTCCCTGAATATATGTACATATATATGTCTAAAATGATGAAGAATTAACAACATCAACAAGAGCGTTTCGATTTATCAAAATATTCTGAAAAAAATATGTTTGCAATATCCATTAACCTGTTGTTCTTGTGACTTGCAGCACCCATTTTGGCATGAATATCAAGTTCGTATTTCAGAAAGGAATGTAGAACTTACGGGAGCATAAACCTCGTCTGCAATTGTATCCGTTTCTACAGTACGTGCAAGGGGCTCCATGCATGTACGGTTCCGTTCGGGACACATCTATGCTGTATGGAAAACAGACAAATTACGAGTGATATCAACAAACTACCAAGTAAGAATGTTGATCAGCACTAATAAATGAAGGGAGTAAGACGTCACTAACGACAACAACGTTGATCTTCAGTATTTATACATATTAGAAATACATGGAAACTGTTATAACATACATAAATCAAGAATGGTAAATGGTTAAAGGTTTACACATATCAGAAGTACAATAACTCAGTAATAAAATAGGGCATGACTGCAAACAACAAAGGAATCGTACCTTTATACAGCGTTCTTAATGCACAATGAGGAAGTTTACAACAACGTCGACGTGCATATCCTAAATATATAGTACAGCCTAGTTTCTAGAAAAGCATTGTAAAATGTTTTTCCTACATCAAAGATAAAATGAGCTAGACATGATTAAGAGGACCACATCAAACTTATGAAATTATTATTGTTATTATTACTATCTTAACGGCCCGTCAACACATAAAATGTCATTAGGACCATCACCTGGTGAAACACACAGCGATCCAAAAGGAAATAACATCAAACATACTAAAAGGTAAAAGACAAATACTAAAAATCTTAAATAGTTATATTATCACAAAAGATTAAAACGGGAAGTCATATTCTATGACATAGACCAACATCTTTCAGATAACCTAGAATTATATAAATCTCAACAGTTTCACAAAGTTATGGAAACATAGGTAACAGAAAATATGGAATGAGTCTCAAAAGCGCAGCAGGCGGGACCATGTTAAGCCAAGCGTAAATACCATGAATATATATTGTCATCAAAACATAATACATACAATGGTGTGTAGAAGCATGCGACCAAGTTGACATTGCGTTGCTGTTGAGACCTGCCAGTCCTGAGAACCGGACACGTGGTAACTGCACATCCCACACTCTCAACATTTGCCGTCACCATCTGTATCAATGACAGGGAATAACGTTACATAGTAAGATACCACCACAACATCTCAACAAATACATTACTGGACGTTTATGTTATATAATAAAACACTTCTTTTGGATCATAACAGAATTCTTTTTACCAGTTTTGAAAAGACGAATTATTATATTATACCTTAAGGTAGTCACATGACCTGGTATGTACACAACTCCTTTGTGCATCGAAGGTTGTCTTTTCTTTCGACCACACTCCAAGCGCGTCCATGGTAACTTCGTTGGTAGGTTCTCTAATGTCATGGTTGTTGTAGAATATATTCTCACCATACCCATCGTTCCTTGGGCGATCATAGTTGCACATTCGACCCCATCGTCTGGCTGCACGAGCAGCTTCTCTATCCCAACTCTGAAATGACACCAATAACACAACGCACTGAGAAACCTGGCCTGATACTACAGTAGTAAGTAAGGCGCTGTATTGGTAAGGGAGGTGAAATCGATTTAACAAGTCAAGTTAATATTTTGCAAAAACAGATAAACATTTTTTACAATATTTTCCTTCGGGGCAAGAAGTTATATTTATTTCATTGTAGATATCCTACAATAACGACTGAGAACATGATGACTGTCTATAAGAATCTGATACAATATATACCACATTTTAATACTAGTATTCTACTACTTTGAAGAAGTTGCACCAAGTGCACACTATAGAAATATGTTTGTGTACATTTGCAATGCAACGGTGATCTATCGAGCAATCACGTATGGACTAATCAATAAATCAATAAATACACACCTTTTAACGACTTTAGGATTAAATGTAAGAGTTAAGTCACACAATGGAATTTATGATCCGTTCCATAAAAAAACTCACAACTATGTATGGGTCAATAAGGTATGTATAATCACAACAGTATCATCCACACCTGGTACTGACATAACTATACAAATATAACGCTAACATATGACCCATTACTGACATAATACCGAAACACAGTGATCACGTAACACTTATCATTCTTGTCTCACACAATACCTGAACAAGGTATTTGTGGTATGTTGAAAGTCTACACACTACATGTACTGATAAGTCAGTACCATTATTTCATGTGAACACTACAGACATGTAATGATGCCAATCACTAACCACGTAAGACCATATACATGTATATTTATCAACAACCCCGCGGAAGCTCAATTTCATCACGAACTCAGATTTAACGCAATGATTATATCTATATTTCTATATATGAAATAAAATATAACGCCATTTAATCAACAGATGTCATTCAAAGAAAACAGGAAATGCGAGTTTTCTGGTCTATAGCTCTTGGTTGTGTCATCATAAATGTCACATTATAGGACATTTATGTCCTGTATTTTGTATTCTTTATCTACATTAAACTGGATGTATCTATGTAACCTACAAATGAACATATAATGGTTGTCACGTAACAATATATATTTTACATTAGATATTACTTTATACATTAATAATATTTTCTATATAGGAAACTTTACCACTTTATCATATATATATTGTATAAAAACAAAACATTACATACATGTAGAATAACATATGAATTCGTGCAGGATAGCCACCTAGGTTGTATAAATATCAATAAAAGCACGAAAGAAAAAGAGAGACGACTGCAGTTTTTCCTCGTTAACGAAGCTTTTAGGGATGCTGTAGAAATGTATTTTTAGGAAAATGCCACATTTGTCTTCTATATATATATATAACCCAGTGTTAACATGTAATTGAAAATAAATTCATATGCAAGGAGAGAAAGGGAGATAAGAGTGAAAAAAAAACCTTAAACTTAATATTTATTACAAGAAATTACAAAGATTCCCAGTATTCATCAATCACGCACGACAACAACATTATTTTACATTTCAGGTTACAAAGTCTTCCAATTACACTTTCAGATATATTGATGACATATTGTCTTAAGTAACAAGATATCTATTTACCATGTCCCTGAGTATACTCAGGAGAATTAGACATCACGGACATGTCAGACTGGTGTCTACATCAGCTGCTTACCTAGATATTTTCTATAATGCAACCAACAGCTTTCTTTCAAACTCTATGATAAGCGTGATGATTTCATTATCTACTGTGAATTTTCAATTTCTGAATAGACACATTCCTGCATCGCTAACGTATGATGCTAACATGTCACAGTTGATCGATATTCAATGGTCTATTCCTAATATTACGTTTTGTGACAACATACATTCTAGTTTGGATTATGATTCTGTTCACATGTTGGTATTTTCTGTCTCGCACTACCTAACAATATTTCACGTTATATATCTGTCTCGAATATACGACAACTTGTACAAAAATATTTCACAGTATTTGATTGGTTGAACGACTTTAACAATATCTTACCGCCATTACTCATCTACACTTTTCAATATGTAATCACTTTTATATTATACCATATCTACCTTAATGTTGATGTGGTAAATAACTCACAGAAAGATCATTTATGCAAGTGACACGCGATACGGAACGCCTATTTTGTACTTGGTGCAGACCCTATTTCTTCATTAACATAATGCATAATGTGTGGAATTCTCATTTATCTGAATGGACAAAAACTTTGCATAACTATGGAAATGAAAGTATTAATATGTCATGCACCATACCACACATATGCATCTCTTTTCTCTTCAATAGAATTTATGAGCTTAAGTTTTGTTTATGCAGGTATGTAGTTGTTATTTATAACATCTGCATTTACAAAGACGGAAATGCTGATGTTTGCTTTATTTTCTCTTTTCTTCGAAAATAGGTTACTTTCATTTTAGGTACAAGATATCATAAGATATCGACGATTTTACAAAACATATACAAATGAATAACACATATAATAAAATAGAACTAGATACGTTAGAGCCAAGTGATGACCTAAACAGCACCATATAGCTTTTCTGGGGGCTTTGTGGTGTACAGCATTCATTAGTGCTGTTTTAATGATATTATATCTGATAATATAATGTGCATTTGTCGAACACTATAGTGATTGTTTATATCGATGATTAGATATACTGTGGTTTTTTTTTTACCAAAAACTTAAATCAAAAAGATATATTTTTCACGAAAATAGTTATTTCAATGGTTATCGAGTACTGAAATCAAGTTGTTTTCTCTCTCAACAAGACAGTTCATGATTTATTACATAATACTTTATCTTAATACGAAACAGAATGCCTTATTTAAATCGTACCTAACAACCGTGACTGAATAAACATAAGCTGGGATGGCTTTGACATGACTGTCCTGTATAGGAAGTGGTGTACAGATGTCTTTCAATTATCCCAAAAAATGTGTCCACGTTGCTAGCTGTTCTTCATGCCTCATTGAGGTTGGTCACAACACAGTTATAATCAGGCAATGACTAGGGACCATGGTATGCATTCATTAAGGCAAGTTGTATGTATAAGGAAATATAATCCCATTAACAGTATGTATATATAGATATATCCTTAATGGAGACAACATGCACACATGAATGATAGCAGCATTTTAGAAAAAAAAGATAACCTTACCAGTTAACGTTTTCTTTGGTTTAAGTCTAGGTTCCAGTCTTATATTTTACATTGATTTCGACAGTTTGTTTTTATTTTTCTCGGTTGTCTCCTACCATATCCTTACTAACTAGTACTAAAAGACGAAACAGTTGTATGATATACTTTAATATTAAAATTGCTGTACACATTATCTAATTCTTGATGTTTTCATATTATTCAATTATTATGAAACCTGAATAAATTTTGAAATTGTGTTATTCACTTATATTGAAATCTTAATTAAACTTGAAATAGTTCCGTACGGAATTTAAATTCATTCGGCCAAGAATATACTTACAAACCTAGGTTAGGAAATTTTCTTGTGCATTGTCATCGGAAATCTAATATGGGCATTTTTTTTTTTTTTTTTTTTTAATTAAAATTTTTCTTTTAAAAATTCTAAAGGATATTTACTTATCGATAAAGATATTCATGCAGACAGCGTTGCTTTAATATGAACAAACAGACCACATGTTCTTGTGTAGCACTTATCTCTGAAATTGATGACACGATTAATGATTCTAACGGTATTGCCTTAAGAAATTCCAACTCCATTTTTCATTTGCTAAAAGGCGTTTTAAATCAACATTCGTCTAGACATATTTTCCTGCAGATTTTAGACCGATATCAAAGCAACAAAAGTTGCCTATTCCCATAAACCAGTAACCAGTTCCGCTCAGACAACAGGCAAAGTTTACATTAAAATCTATCTTGTATATCAAACCTCGGGCTAAATAGATGTGCATTCTCCATGTTTTATAATGCATATTGTGCGTTGTCATCTTGATATCAGATTTAATGTTGATGGATATTAAAAAATCATATAAACGTTTAGATAAATGGTACAGAAAATGTTGTCGGCAAGAATTTCGTCACAAAATTTCATCTTTATGTAAATATAGAGAAAAAAACGAAATGTCCAGAAATAAACGAAACATTATTACATACATCTCGTATTCAATCTTATTTTTGATTGTTGAATAAACAGAGGAAATGGCGTGACGGAAATGTCAGTTTAAACTGCATAACTAATATGTTTACTTAACTAACAACCGGGCAACTCTTTGCTGGTTACCGTCCGTCAATAGAACATGGTCAGAGTATCTACAGTTCTCTGGTGTTGGCGATGGGAGACAGGGATAAACTACAATACAGTATTGATATATAACTCAACATACATGCTTGTTAAACATGTGGCGTGTTCATGAAAGAATAAGTCTTGTTCCAGATGATGAACACTCTGGTGCACATATTCCTAAATGAGGAAGGAATACTACGTGAATTTAATTTAAAATATGTTTTCTCTGCACAAATTCTCTTATATATTTGTTTCTTAAACCAAGTATGATATACACTTTATACATCAGCACTGTACTTGTACCCAAACAGCTAAATAAGTTTATAATTCTAAACCTGGTAACAAATGAGTTCTCATATGGGCGGAAGTGGGGGCTAAATATGTTTATAATTTTAAACCTGGTAACAAATGAGTTCTCATTTGGGCGGAAGTGGGGGCTAAATAAGTTTATAGTTCTAAACCTGGTAACAAATGAGTTCTCATTTGGGCGGGAGTGGGGGCTAAATAAGTTTATAATGCTTAACCTGGTAACAAATGAGTTCTCATTTGGGCGGAAGTGGGGGCTAAATAAGTTTATTATTCTAAACCTGGTAACAAATGAGTTCTCATTTGGTCGGAAGTGGGGGCTATACATGTTTATAATGCTTAACCTGGTAACAAATGAGTTCTCATTTGGGCGGAAGTGGGGGTTATATATGTTTATGATGCTAAAACTGGTAACAAATGGCTTCTCATGGAGT